AAAAAAAAAAAAAAAAAAAAAAAAAAAAAAACATATTTATTTACCCTACAAATTAAATTAATAAAAATATTCCTCAATTTTTTAATTTTTAAAAAATATTCCTAAACTAAAAAAAAAAAATCAATATTACCCTTAATTTTTTTTAATATTGTTAAATTTAAAAAAATTCATTAATATCCTTACGACTATTTTAAAAATACTTACTATGTTTAAAAAATTATCCAAGAAATTTCAAAGATAGAATTAACGTTCGAAAGTTCAAAAAAGAAATTTAATCGCAATGTATAGACGAAAATCGATTATCGATACTTCATAGATTATCTTCTAACTTTTTAATTTAATCTTTAAAAATTCATGAGTATTTATGAGACGTGTAATAAGATATATATTTTAAGTTTAAAAGTGTTTTAAAATCTTAAAAATGTTTTTGAAATTAAAAAAAAAATAAGATTATAATAAAAAAATTTGAAAACTTAAAAGGGTATTTTTGGAATATTTTTTAAAGTTAAGTGTTATTTTGAAATATTTTTAAAAGTTCAAGAGTATTTTTGGAATGAAGTGTCTATTTTGAACTTTTTTTAGTTGAAGGGTATCATTGAGACAAAATGCAAAGTTCAACAGTATAGCGCATCACTAACATCAGTCACAAACGTGAAATATTCTTAATTTAGAGTATTATTGAGACAAAATGCAAAGTTCAACAGTACAGCGCATCACTAACATCAGTCACAAACGTGAAATATTCTTAATTTAGAGTATTATTGAGACAAAATGCAAAGTTCAACAGTACAGCGCATCACTAACATCAGTCACAAACGTGAAATATTCTTAATTTAGAGTATTATTGAGACAAAATGCAAAGTTCAACAGTACAGCGCATCACTAACATCAGTCACAAACGTGAAATATTCTTAATTTAGAGTATTATTGAGACAAAATGCAAAGTTCAACAGTACAACGCATCACTAACATCAGTCACAAACGTGAAATATTCTTAATTTAGAGTATTATTGAGACAAAATGCAAAGTTCAACAGTACAACGCATCACTAACATCAGTCACAAACGTGAAATATTCTTAATTTAGAGTATTATTGAGACAAAATGCAAAGTTCAACAGTACAGCGTATCACTAACATCAGTAGAAATATTCTTAATCTTCATAATAATCAATATGAATGGATAGAGTTGAATTATATCTCTAATTTATAGTTGGTTGGGTTGACCTAACTAAAAAATGTCAACCCACTAATTAAAATTTTGAAATTTTTAGCCAAATAAGGATATTGATATTTATAATTAGTTTTATATTAAAAATAAAATAAAATATTTTTTTTTCAATAAATCCCTAAATCATAATTAATTTTACATTAAAAACGTTTGGCCAAAAACTAATGAATTATATGTATTTTTAAATTTATAACAATTTAATCATTTAATTTTTAAACTTTCAAATTTGCAAAATAATAATAATAATAATAAAATAAAATTTGACTAAAATAATACGACTAAATTATTACAAAACTAAAATATACATTATTATAAGCTATCTTATTTTTATATTTTTCATTAACTTTTTTAATAATTACTAAATTATAGTTTATCATATAATATACAGTATATATCATATTTGATATTTTATTACAATGCAATATCTATATATTTACGTTCTTAATATCTTTCTATTTATTGTTATTTATATTTATTATTCTTTCTATATTATTGTAATTTATTTAATTATAAATATATAACTTTCACGTTATATTTTTACATTCTTAGCTATTAAGATTTCGTGGATGAAATTTATTAAATTTAATATATGTATTTTTAAAAGAAACTATTAATATTATACAAATTGGAAATTTTTGTGCAGCTTTTGGTCAAGTCTCATGGCAGTCCGTTGAATGAATTTTATTTTTAAAAAATAAAATAAAAATTTGACTATTGTACAAATTTTATTAAATTCATTTTAAGAAATATAACTCATTTGATAATCTGAAAACGGCAGTTTTAGCATTGCGGTAAACCCGTGTAAAATATATGGTGGATTTGGGTGCTCTGCCTAAATGAATCCTATTTCGGCTATTACCTTCTCCATTACTATGTTCTCATACACAGGAATACCCGTTAGCTGGTTTTTGTAACAAATTCTATTTGTTTTTTGATGTTTTGGATTGTGGGGGCTTACTTCCTAGCCCTAGTGGGAGTAGTGACTAGCGTTATAGGTCGTTAGGCGGTCGGAAGGTTTTCACGAGGAAATAAGTCCATTTGGAAGACCGAAGGCATTTCTCCATGCACCGAACACGTAGCCATTTGTGAGAGCCCAACGAAAAGTCCGTGATAACTCGTTGGGTTAAGGATACAATGAAAGCCTATGAGTAGGTTGTTTACTGAGTATTTTTTTACGTACCCATTTTCTCTTTCTTTTCTTTTTTTTTTTCAGATGTTACAGGTTGTCGGTCAAGGTGGGAAACATTCGAGAGTTGTGCAGTCACATAGGGGTCATTCTTTTTGTATTTATTTGTAATGTTGTTTGTTTTAGTTTGATTTAAAATTTGTAGTATTTATTATCTTTTAATTTATTTGCTTTTGGTATTTATTTGTAATGTTGTTTGGGAAACATTCGAGAGTTTTGCAGTCACATAGGTGATTAGAGTAGACATGTGTGCTGATTTTCGGCTCAACGCATCAGCTACTACATTCGCCTTTCTCGGGTGATAGAGTATCTCCACGTCATAGTCTTTAACCAACTCCAACCACCTGCGTTGTCTCATGTTTAACTCCTTCTAAGTCAAGAAGTATTTAAGACTCTTGTGATCAGTAAAAATTTGGGTCATTTCTCCATAAAGGTAGTGTCTCCAAATCTTTAGTGCAAATACCACTGCTGCGAATTCTAGGTCGGGGGTGGGATAGTTTTGCTTGTAGTCTTTTAGTTGACGCGAAGCATAGACGATAACCTTTTCATGTTGCATGAGGACACACCCTAACCCCTTTTTGAATCATCAAGGTATACTAAAAGCCTCCTCTCTTGACGGCACAGTAAGTATCGGGGCGGTTACTAACCTCTGTTTAAGTTCTTGGAATCTATCCTCGCACTGATTAAGCCTCCTCTCTTGACGGCACAGTAAGTATCGGGGCTGTTACTAACCTCTGATTATTCCAGGTGAACGACTTTCCTTTCTTGGTCAACTCAGTGAGGGAGGTGGCGATCTTGGAGAAATCCTACACAAACCGCCGATAATACCCTGCTTGTAACGACCCAGATCCACCGCTAGCAGATATTGTCCTCTTTGGGATTTCCCTTTCAGGCTTCCCCTCAAGGCTTTAAAACGTGTCTTTTAGGGGAAGGTTTCTACACCCTTATAAAGGGTGATTTGTTCTCCTCCCCAACCAATGTGGGACATCACAAACCACCCCCCTTTGGGGCCCAGCGTCCTCGTTGACACTCTTTCCTTCCTCCAATCGATGTGGGACCGCCCCCAAATCCACTCCCCTTTGGGGCCCAGCGTCCTTACTGGCACACCGCCTCGTGTCTACCCCCCTTCGGGGAACAATGAGAAGGTCGGCACATCGTCTGTTGATTGGCTCTGATACCATTTTGTGATGTCCCACATTGGTTGGGGAGGAGAACAAATCACCCTTTATAAGGGTATGGAAACCTTCCCCTAACAGACACGTTTTAAAGCCTTGAGGGGAAGCCCGAAAGGGAAAGCCCAAAGAGGACAATATCTGCTAGCGGTGGATTTGGGTCGTTACATTGCTAGACCAAGGAAACTTCGTACCTTAGTCACTGTGGTTGGGCGAGGCCAATTCATCACCACTTCAATCTTTGCTGGGTCTACGGTGATTCCCATTCGTTAAACTACATGCCTAAGGCTCGCCAATTCGTCACCACTTCAATCTTTGCTGGGTCTCCGGTGATTCCCATTCGTTAAACTACATGCCTAAGAAATCCCACCGGTTATGCCCAGAATTCACACTTGGAGAACTTTACAGAATTCACACTTGGAGTCCTTACACTCCTAGACCAAGGAAACTTCGTACCTTAGTCACTGTGGTCGGACGAGGCCAATTCGTCACCACTTCAATCTTTGTTGGGTCTACGGTGATTCCCATTCGTGAAACAGACGTTCCTCGCTTTGTTCCATAGTCTTGGAATACACAAGAAGGCTGTCTTTGAGATATCACACTCCTTAATCCTCAACTGATGGTAGCCTGACTGTAAGTCAATCTTTGAGAACAGAACTGCTCCTTGCAACTAATCGAACAGGTCGTCGATCTGGGGTAAAGGAAACTTGTTTTTAATTGTCACTTTGTTAAGTTCCCGATAGTCCATGCATAAGCGCATAGAGCCGTCCTTCTTCACAAATATCACTAGGGCTCCCCAAGAAGACACACTTGGTCGTATAAAGCCTTTGTTTAGTAGCTCTTGAAGCTGCAACTTTAGTTCTTTCAGTTCAACAGGGGTCATTCTATACGGGGCTCTTGATATAGGGGTTGTTCCTGACTCAAGTACAATTTTGAATTCCACCTCACGCTCTGGGGGTAGGCTTGGGAGATCTTCTAGGAACACGTCGACGAATTCTCTCACTTGAGTTAATGCTCGCCTCGGTTCGCCCTAATTCCACCACATGAGCTAATACCCACCAAGCACCCTGGAATAACATCTTCCTTGCCTTTAATGCCAAGACTACCCTTGAGACTATTCCCACCCTAGTCCCCATGAATTTGAAGCTTGGCTAACTATTCCCACCCTAGTCCCCATGAATTTGAAGCTTGGCTGACTAGGGGGTCTGAACACAACCGCCTTGTTGAAGTAATCAATGGATGCATGGTTTTTAGCTAACCACTTCATCCCTAAGATGACGTCAAAATTGGTCATATCTAAGACTATCAGCATCACATCCATCATGTTGTTTGACACACACAACTGACAATCCTTTACCCTCTCGAAGGCTTCCATACTTACCCCTGTCGGGTTACCCACACACAACCCATACCCTAGCGGTTCAACTTCTACTCTTGCGTGTTTTACAAGGTTAGTGGAGATAAAAGAGTGGGTTGACCTAGAATCAAATAAGACCCATGCGTAGTACCCAAGAATAGAGAGCGTACCTGTGACTGCAGTGTTGGAGCTTTCTGCCTCCTGGCGAGTGGTAGCATACATTTGCCCCTGTTGTGGAGCTAGCCTCGGGTTTGAGGTTGGTTGGTTACCAAGGGGTCTATTGGTACTAGTTTCTCTCTCTTGGGTGCAATGCTCGACAACGTGGCCTTCTTGGTGACAGTTGAAACATACCTTATTCTTAAACCTGCATTGTCATGGGTGACGTCTCCCACAATTCATGCAACGTGGTCTGTTACGTGGCATGCATGTTCTGTGGGCGAGCCTTTGGTTGCCTGCACTCTTGGTTTAAATTTGTCTTGGCCTGGTGCAAGGTACCTTTGAGGAGGTAGATGACGTCTGTTCTCTCTTTCTCTTCTGGTCAACCGACGTGTTTAAGTGGGTTTGGGTGTCTTCTGTTGAATATTCCCTATCGTCGAGCATCTCGGTAAGTTGGAATGTTGTTGCATAGTCAGGTGGAAGGTAAGCTAACACCACCCCTCAAACATTGGGCCGCAAACCCATAACAAAATACTCTACTTTCAGCTCTTCTGTTGAGACCATTATTGGGGCGAAACGGGACAGACGGGTGAACTCTCATTCATATTCCTCTACTGACCTATTTCCCTACTCTATGCTTAGGAATTCACATTGCTTCTTAAATCGCACCATTAGTTTGAAGTATTTTCGAAGGAACGCTGATCTAAACTGCGTCTAGGTGATGTCATCTTCGTCTGCAGCAATCACCCGGAGGCTGATTGCCACCACAGTTTAGCATCTTGCGTAATAGGTAGGTCACGCAACTCAGTCTATGCTCCTCCGGACACTTCATGGGTCGAAAAATTTCATCAATAGCCGACAACCATAATTTAGCTACGATAGAGTCCTTCGATTTTTCCTCGAATACTTCGGGGTCTCGACGTTTGAAAGCTCGAAAATACTTGCTTTCTTCTGATGCGTCCCCCCGGTTGTGATGGGTCGTCTGCCTGGCACTTTGCGCTAAGGTCGGGATCAATTGTGCCAATTGCCCATTTGTCTGTGCCATGGATTGCATCAGTCCCATCATCACAGTCATATTAGGTACTTCCGGAGTATCAAGGTTTACTCTTAGTAGAACAGACGAGGGAACTCCTATCCCCATATTTGGGTTCGCATTTACCGACTGTTCTTGAAGTGGGACCTCTAAAGATGGGTTCTCCTGTACCCTTGTCGGCCCGCTTTGAGCACGTTTACCTCCCCAATTTGTTACTTGGCCAGACATCATTTCACTTGTTTCGTTCCTAATCCACAATTAATTACCTCTAAAATTTTATTTTTCAGCCTAGTATTATGCAATGTGTATTATCCACTACTTTATGACTGACAAGTACATAAAACCACATATGATAGTCAATCAAAATATCAATACTCGACCATACATATTCGTACATTAAGCAACATGCATTATCCACTAATTTTGATTTACAAGCGTACAAAAATCATCCATGATAACCAATGTAATTTCAATATTCAACAATACATATTCCTCCATTTTATGGCCAAACATACCTGGAAGTGACGAGGGTTTGCCGTTCAGTCATGGGCAACTCTTTGGCTTACGATGTAAGTAGTCTACAGAATCTCATAACTGGCTGTGATACAAGTGTAACAGTTCAGATCCACCACTAGCAGATATTGTTCTCTTTGGGTTTTCTCTTTCGGACTTCCCCTCAAGGCTTTAAAACGCAATATGCTAGGGGAAGTTTTCCATGCCCTTATAAATGGTGGTTTGTTCTCCTCCCTAACCAATGTGAGACATCACAGATGAGGGTGTTCATGAGGCGCATGACACTATGGGGTTCTGCTGACCTCCGGACGTCGCTATAGATTAACTTGACCAGAGGGTTCAGGGGGTGTGCGAGCGCCCTGGGGATTCACACTCACACGTGTGAGTCATGTGTAGGGAAGTACTACAAATCCAATTTGTCCGAGACTGAAGGCCACCCTTAAGATCATTAGAGATAGGTCCCTAAATCATGATTGCATGTGTTTGCATTCGCATGACCCCCTATAGTAGGGCCACTTACTGAGTATTCTTCGAAATACTCGTGTGCCACGTCATTTTTTTCAGGTAAAGGCAAGGCGCACTTGTACGGATGGCGGTGGCATCGCGAGCAGAGACCGTGACAAGTGCATAGGATATATTCATATTTAAATTCCTAGTTAAGTTGGAATAAGTTGTTTTGCATTTCATTGTTTTAAACTATTTTGTATTTATTTTTATTTTCTTTAAATTTCAGTATTTCGCATTTAAACACGTAAGACGACGACTGTGTTTTCCAGAGAAGAATTTGTTTTTAAGCATTTTTTAAAGTTTACATAGATAAGTATGGGACATTAGTAACGACTCTAAGTATATGGAAATTTAAGGTTGTTACATTAAACATGATAGTCATGTTCCTTTTCATAACGTACGCGTCCGTACTCACCACAAGGGGAAATATCTCGATGTACATGAATATTTATGCATGAAGTCCCATCATTTTTCATGGTGGACAAATCATGCAAGTCATTCATACCATGACCTAACATAATCATGTCACATAATGTCATGACATTTCATAGCACATCATAATTCATCAAGGCATAATATGAGATTCATTCATGTTCTAATGTTACTTGCAATATCACAAATCTTATCATATCATCATAATACATTATATCATTAAAACATAATCATATCATAATACATAACAAGCATATCAAACGTACGATATGTGTAGGGCTATTGGGCACGTGTCATCATACATAAAACAAATCTTCCAACCATACCATTAGTAGAGCCACTTACTTGCCTTAAGCCAGAGTCTGTAATTATTATATATGAACACATTATATCCCAAATCTTATCATATCATCACAATACATCATATCATTGAAACATATCATATCATAATACATAACAAGCATATCAAACATACGATACGTGTAGAGCCATTGGGCACGTGTCATCATACATAAAACAAATCTTCCAACCATACCATTAGTAGAGCCACTTACTTGCCTTAAGCCAGAGTCTGTAATTATTATATATGAACACATTATATCCCAAATCTTATCATATCATCACAATACATCATATCATTGAAACATATCATATCATAATACATAACAAGCATATCAAACATACGATACGTGTAGAGCCATTGGGCACGTGTCATCATACATAAAACAAATCTTCCAACCATACCATTAGTAGAGCCACTTACTTGCCTTAAGCCAGAGTCTGTAATTATTATATATGAACACATTATATCCCAAATCTTATCATATCATCACAATACATCATATCATTGAAACATATCATATCATAATACATAACAAGCATATCAAACATACGATACGTGTAGAGCCATTGGGCACGTGTCATCATACATAAAACAAATCTTCCAACCATACCATTAGTAGAGCCACTTACTTGCCTTAAGCCAGAGTCTGTAATTATTATATATGAACACATTATATCCCAAATCTTATCATATCATCACAATACATCATATCATTGAAACATATCATATCATAATACATAACAAGCATATCAAACATACGATACGTGTAGAGCCATTGGGCACGTGTCATCATACATAAAACAAATCTTCCAACCATACCATTAGTAGAGCCACTTACTTGCCTTAAGCCAGAGTCTGTAATTATTATATATGAACACATTATATCCCAAATCTTATCATATCATCACAATACATCATATCATTGAAACATATCATATCATAATACATAACAAGCATATCAAACATACGATACGTGTAGAGCCATTGGGCACGTGTCATCATACATAAAACAAATCTTCCAACCATACCATTAGTAGAGCCACTTACTTGCCTTAAGCCAGAGTCTGTAATTATTATATATGAACACATTATATCCCAAATCTTATCATATCATCACAATACATCATATCATTGAAACATATCATATCATAATACATAACAAACATATCAAACATATGAGACGTACAGGGTCATTGAACACGTGTCATCATACATAAAACAAATCTTTCAACCATACCGATAATAGAGCCACTTACTTAGTTGACCTAGGCTAGAGTTTGTAATGATTACTTGTACCCGCATAAATCTTTTCTTCAACATTCAATTGAACCTCGTACCTATTTTCTTGATGATATCAATTAAAACAAAATGATAGCAAAGATGAGCCACCTTTCTTTTATTCTCTTTTTTCAAATCAAGTATATTGTTTCGGACTTAAAATTCTTAAAAATAATTTATAGTTATTGAAACTAATTATTTTTTGAAAAAAAAAATTAAGGATCAATTTTAAATTTTATTGATAATATAATAATTAAATTTGAAGCGTAAAAAATCACTATATAACAATATACGATGATCCAAAGATATTTTTGACCTAATTTTTAAACAAATAAAAAAATGGATTCAATCCCATAGTGGATTTGGTTTGCAGCACCTGAAAAATGGGAGAGCAAATGAAGCATTGAGGCAGCCCAAAACCTCCATTTCTGCGCCACACCTCATCTCTGCCATTCAGTTTACCCGCCATGGGAGGCACAGGAAGAACTCTGCTCTCTCTTTCAGTCTCAACAAATCTGTTAATCAGTGCTCGTGTTTCACCGCCCAAGTGTCTGTCGCTCCTCAAAATACCGAAACCCATAAGAAATTTCTCAGGATTTAGGCCTCTTTGCTCCGCTACCAGCGCCACGACCAACGCAGAATCTACGGAAACAACTCAGGCGATTGAACCGTTGAAGCACTCTATTTTGCTTGAGCGGCTCAGGACTAGGCATCTCAATGAATCTGCTTCTAAAACTAAGCCAGTTGTGGGAAGCGGTGAGGAGAAAATGAAGAAGCCAGAAAAGAAGAAGAAATTGGTTGAAAGTTTTGAAGAATTGGGTTTGAATGAGGAGGTGATGGGGGCTCTGAGGGAGATGAACATTGAGGTTCCGACTGAGATTCAGAGCATTGGAATCCCGGCTGTTTTGGAAGGGAAGAGTGTGATTTTGGGTTCTCATACTGGGTCTGGTAAAACTCTGGCTTACTTGCTACCCCTTGTCCAGGTACTTTTAGCTTTTCATAATTCAACAGCATTTTTGTTGTGGGGTTTCCTTAAATTTGTTATAGACATGAATTATCTTGTAATATTTGAAGTGTAATTGTGATGTTGTGCTTGGTGCTGTTTCCTGTACAGTGTTCCATATTTAGAAGGATCTTTTCTAGTAAATGTTGGAGTCAAGAAGATCTTGAGTATATAAGTAAGCGACACTATCTTCATTGGTACAATGCTTTTTAGGAAAGTGGACAATATTATATTACTGTGGACGTAAGTTGTGTCTTATCAGTGGTATCGAGGTCGTACTCTTATCTTGACTTAGTCATTTCAATAAAATCCTCGAAGGTATAGTCATAGTGACTCAAGTGTTGAACAAAAAAGTTATAAGTTTCGAAGGTGTAGTCATAGTGAAGATTTGTGGTAGAGCTCTATTGGACTAGCAATGTGCTCCAGAGACGATAGTCGACCTCTTAAAACTATAGAAACTAAATTATAATCTTCATTGGTTAAAACCCACGACGATGTAAACTAATTAAGAGGAAGATCTTGAATATATAAGTAAGCGACACTGTCTTCATTGATATAATGCCTTTTAGGAAAGTGGATAATATTATACCACCGTGGACGTCAGTTGTGTCTTATTAGTGGTATCAATGTCGTGCTCTTATCTTGACTTGGTCATTGAAAGTGTAGTCATAGTGAAGATTTGTGGTAGAGTTCTATCGGACTATCAATGTGCTCCAAAGACGATAGTCGACCTCTTAAAACTATAGAAACTAAATTATAATCTTCGTTGGTTAAAACCCATTAGGATGTAAAAAAAATAAACTTTTTGTTTCATTATTCTATGGATTGCCTGATTCCATCTTTGATGCAAATTGGTATGATATTGGCAGTGGAACCTGACAATGTGGAGGTTTATATATTGATTACTGTGTGCTATTTTATGGAGTATCGGTGAACTTGTTAAGAAATGTTTGCAATTTCTGATTTGTTGATTCGTAGTTGCTGAGGCGGGATGAAGAACTGTTTGGCAAGTTAATGAAGCCTAGGCGTCCTCGAGCAGTCGTGCTATGTCCCACGAGGGAATTATCTGAACAGGTAGCTGTAGGTTGACTTCATTTTATTACCTGTATTGCCATATAGTTTTATCCTTCTCCTATTAACATCAAATGATTACAATAGGTGTTTCGCGTGTCGAAATCTATCAGTCATCATGCGCGATTTAGGTCTACCATGGTAAGTGGTGGTGGTCGGATCAGGCCACAAGAGGACTCGTTAAGTAATCCAATAGACATGGTGGTGGGAACTCCTGGCAGAGTTCTTCAACATATTGACGCAGGCAACATGGTGTATGGTGACATCAAATACTTGGTGCGGACCTACTATTATGGTTTTGATGTTGCATTCAGCCAAAAATCATGAGTCCCTGATATTATTGTCCAGTTCATATGTTGCATTACTTTTGTAATTTTTGCTTTGGAATGCATACGATGCTGTCGTGATTGTGGAGTCGTTTTAGTAGGTGCTGGATGAGGCAGACACCATGTTTGATCACGGATTTGGACCCGACATTCGTAAGTTTATTGGCCCATTAAAGCATCGTGCCTCGTCACATGATGGCCAAGGATTTCAAACAATATTGATCACTGCAACAATGACAAAGGTATTGGTTTCAATGTGACAGAAGTATTTTGTTTTTCCCTGTTGAGATCATATTTTTCTTTGAATATGTATGGATTGATAATTTGGATGTTAGAAAATCCGAAGGTAGGCATGTTGAACCTGATGGAACCCTCCTTTATAATTGTTTTTGTGAGATCCCACATCGGTTGGGGAGGAGAACGAAGCACCAGTTTTAAGGATGTGGAAATCTCTCCCTAGCAGACGCGTTTTAAAAACCTTGAGGGGAAGCCGGAAAGGGAAAGCCCAAACAGGACAATATCTGCTAGTGGTGGGTATGAGCTATTATAAATGGTATCAGAGCCAGACACCGGACGATGTGCTAGTGAGGAAGTTGAGTTCCGAAGGGGATGGACATGAGGCGGTGTGTCAGCAAGGATCCTAGGCTCTGAAGGGGGGTGGATTGGAGGGTCCCACATCGATTAGAGAAAGGAACGAGTGCCAGCGAGGACGTTGAGCCCCGAAAGGGGTGGATTGTGAGATCCCACATCGATTGGGGAGAAGAACGAATCACCCTTTATATGGGTGTGAAAACCTTTCCCCAATAGACACATTTTAAAAACCTTGAGAGAAAGCTCGAAAGGAAAAGCTCAAAGAGGACAATATCTGCTAGCGGTGGGCTTGGGCTGTTATAGTTTCGGTGGAAGGATGTTAAATGTTCTTTGAATACTTTCGACAATCGGTTCTATATGCGAGATCAGTTTCCTTTTCTAGTCAATAGTCATTCGATTTGATTTACAATTTCAGCATTTGTCGTTTCATTATACATTTCGGTTGTTAAAATTCTTCCGCTCATACGTTCTGGCCATCACTGCAGGCAGTTCAAAAGCTGATTGATGAGGAGTTTCAAGGCATTGTGCATTTACGCACATCAACTTTGCATAAAAAGATCGCATCCGCTCGTCATGATTTCATCAAGCTTTCAGGTTCTGAAAATAAGATGGAAGCTTTATTGCAGGTTTGACTATTGTATTTATTTCTTGGGGACTTCTTAGTCCATTATGAACGCTCTGACAAATATTAGCTTAGATTCTTAGACCATTATCTCCTTATTTCCATGAAGTTCATGGTTTCGTTGTTTCATATCATCATGGTCATGGCTTGGTCGTTAAAAAATTCTAGGAGTCTCAATAAAATAACTTCCAATGCCTGGGCTGTTAAACTGCCAAGCCATGCCATGACCATGAAGTTTTTAACCTCTCACCTGACAAGGTTTTGAAATTTAACATCTGGAACTAAGCTTGTGCATCCATGAGTTTCACCTTTCCTATTTACCATGGGAAGAATTTCACTGATTTCACCTCAAGTAATTACTTCCTTTTGACTTTGTAAGAAGTATAAGATTGATTCTCAACTATTTTTTGCATTGCCATTTGTCTCAAATCCCTCCGCCCCCTTGTTAAATTACTAATAGGATAATAGACTGATGATCATCCCCGACTGCTATCCAAGACTGATTGAACGAGGTAAAGCATATGAAATCCCGTAAACTCCTCTCCTTTACTTTACAGTCTATCAGCTTCTTCCTTCCCTTCCTCCTTACGAGAAGTGGTTTCCACTAGAGCTCTAGGACCTTATACTCTATTACCTGACATTCCCCTACCCGGACTGCTATTCGAGGTTGATTGAACAAGGTAAAGCATATGAAATCCTGTAAACTCCACTCCTTTACTTTACAGTCTTATCAGCTTCTTCCTTCCCTTCCTCCTTACGAGAAGTGGTTGCCACGAGAGCTCCGGAACCTTATACTCTATTAACTGACCTTCCCCTATTGACCTTACGCATTAAATCCTAAACCTATTTATTCTTCTTCTTCTTTTGAGGAAGGTTTATGGAAGGAAAGACGAAAGAAAGATTTTCTTACAAGAATCCCCAACTAAATGATGATAATTCCTTGTTTACGAGATTCAGGAGAGAAATAAGGAATCGGAGAATATGTAAGACCCATAAGAGTGAAGGAGGTAATCTCAGCCGTGAGAGAAGGGGTTTTCTTAGTTTTCATTTGCTCAACATGTTTGACTTTAGGCCGCAAATGGATTCTATGTACTATGCTTACCAAAGGCCGAAAAACATTTTTCGTCAATGAAGAAGGACGACCTATGTAGACAGACATTCATAGTGCATGAAAAAGTACTTTTAAGCACTTAGAAAATCATTCCTTACTTGTAGTTGATACACAAAGCAATAAGGAAAGAAATCAACCAGCTAAATCCTTACTAAAAAATGCATGAACAAACAGCAGGAAGTCTTAAGCATCACATTATCATCTTTAGATTATTGGACTGTCTATTGGGCTTCATATTTGTTATTTTGTGAGGATGCAGGTTCTTGAACCAAGTTTGGCAAAAGGAAACAGGGTAATGGTGTTCTGTAACACTTTAAATTCCAGCCGTGCCGTGGATCATTTTCTCGGTGAAAATCAAATTTCTACAGTCAATTACCACGGAGAGGTGCCTGCACAGCAGCGGTAAGGATTTCGGTGATAAACTCCGTTTCATTTTTATAAATTTTACTCTACTTAGTGACAATCAATGAAAAAGTTACACAAATGAGCTGCAGTGACTCGGATCGAAAAACTGAAAAGAATGAATAGATACAAAAAGATTGTTGGTTCTGAGTAATCCAAGATTTTGATGTATGCGTTTATACTGTTGTTTGAAAATCAGAGTCGAGAATCTCAAGAAGTTCAAGAGCGATGATGCTGATTGTCCGACGTTAGTCTGCACGGACTTGGCCGCTAGGGGCTTGGATTTGGATGTGGATCATGTCATTATGTTTGATTTTCCTTCGAATTCTGTAAGATTTATTTCCTTTTGAAGAACTTGGCTTGTTTATTTTGCACCTCTTTTTGTGCTGCACTTTCATGCCTAAATAGCTTATAAATGATATTTTGTTTCGCCTTTTAGATCGATTACCTTCATCGCACGGGAAGAACAGCTCGTATGGGTGCAAAAGGTTCGTTGCTTGCTCTTTGATGTACTTGATGTTTATAACTCTGTTCTTTCACATGGGTTTTATGCTGTCCATTTGTTGGGTAACTAGGAAGGAAAATCCTTGAGCCTAGCCATGACCCTACTGAAATAGGCCGCTGCCATATGCAATGAACTGTGGACTTCCTTGCTGATCCTTCATTATTTGTACATCTATTGGTGTAGGAAATGTGACAAGCCTGGTTACTAAAAAGGATCATATTTTGGCCACTCGCATCGAGGAAGCAATCCGAAAAAACGAGAGCTTAGAATCTCTCACAGCAGATAACGTGCGGAGAGACATCGCACGGGATCGTATGATAACCGAGCAGAAAATGAAAAATGAAAAATTGGTTAAGGTTTCAAAGGAGAGAACCAGAGCTAAATCATCAACATCAGCAGCAAAACCTTCAAGTGTCCATTCAAAAGATGAATCTGGAAAAGCTTCATCTCCAGTAAAGACTCAGAAGTCCGGTGTTCGAGTTTCTAAGTTAACAAAACCGTCGAGGAATGTCCCCAGAAAGCCGTCTTCCGAACCGAAGAAGCAGGTGACGAGCAGAAGGCAGTCCAGAAATGGCATCAAACCTTCAGGTCAGAAACTAAATGTAGTTGGGTTTAGAGGGAGAAGCAGCCAGTCTGATAAGAGAAGATCAGTATCCGGTTAAGTGGAAGACAGGTTTTAGATGAGAGTTTAACATAGTTTTATAAACTTTTCATGTAATTTTTTTGTCTTAGTTCTTCATTTGAAATGGCTTGATGAGTATAAGGAAGTGTAATTTTGCTGTTAAAGTGTATGTTTTATAAGTGAAACTTCTTGAGAAGGAACAAATTAGTGCCAACCTTTATCAAGCCTCTCTTTTTATGTGTCTACGAGGGATAAAAGAGTACACATCGGGGCCCTTTTATCATACGTGGTACGGAAATGAACATAGTTTTACATCGATTGAAATAGACAAAAACTTTTGTTGAGAGGTAAGACTATCTCGATATTGATACGAGACAATTTAAGATGCACACACTCGATTTAGATGAACACAAAGAACAGGATAGAAAAAATGCAATGAGAACTCTCGTTAGCTCTCGTTAATGGATTTATATAGATAACTTCAAATATATAAAATAAAAGGAATCGCACACACTCGATCTAGAAAATGCAAGGAGAACTGATAAAGGATTTATATTGATGATTAGTACATATGCAAAGCTATTTACCAAATATACCTTTCTATAACTAAACTATAAATAATTACTTCATATGTCATTTACCAAATATAGTTTTACTGTGTTAAATTATAAATAAACAACATGCTCCATAATCTAAAGTCGTCATTATATATTTCCTATATTTTTTTTAAGTATATGTTTGGTTGATTGCAAAAGTAGATCCCAATTCAAAAAATTAGGCTAAATTAATAATTAAAAAGAAGATATTCTTAAAAATAATATTCTTAAACTTTTAAAAATCTCAAAATTACCCTTAAAATTTAAAACTATTTTAATTTTCCAACTTTTTAAAAAATTTCAAAAATACTTTTAAACTTTCTTAAAAACTTTAAAAATATTTTTATGTCAATATCATGTTTCAAAAATACTTATGGACTTTCAATAAATAACGCTAAGTTCGGAGATAATCTATAAAGTGTTCATAGAAGATTTTCGTTCAAATATTAACGGTAAAAAAAAAAAAATAACTCTTTTTTATTAAGGTAAATGGTTTAATGTTACTTTTAAAATTTCATGGGTACTTTTTAAATATATTATTAACCGTACGATTATTTTTTAATTTCTTTTAAAGTTGAAGAGTATTTTAAAAAGTCTCATTAAATTTAAAAGTAAAAAATTTAGTACTCCAAATAAAATACTAATAATTTTCATCTAAATTTATTTTTATTAATTTAGTTTTTAAAAAAAACTATTATAATTATAATATTATTTTTTTAAAAAAACCTGTTGATTTTTTTTTAAATGAAATTCATTATTTGGAATTATTTAAATTATTTTTTTAATTGCAGCATTGATTAAATTGTTGTAATAACATTAATTATTTTTAATTGTTAATGCATAACTTTTATAATTATAGAAAATAATGTAAATAAATGTTCTCTATTAATTTTAAAAATGTTATTTTTTTTTGTTGGTGATTTTAAGTTAATTTAAAAATAATTTATAAACACAAAGTTTAAACTAATATAATTTTTAATTTTTAATTTTAATTGATATGATATGTTTACCTTCTTTTACGGGTTGAATTGGATTGGATGCATAGTATTTTTTTACACATGGTTCATGCACCTATGCGTGAACCCACTTGCTAGACTCGTTAACATACCCTCTAGGCCTAACTTTATGACCATGCACACTATCGAACCACTAACAAAAAAGAAAGGAACACAAATAATATCATGATGTACGCGTTCATACATAACATGTTGGAGAAGTAATCCATGATCATACGACATACAACATGCCTGAGATCCAACATTAAAAATTTTGATTTAATAAGATGATGCACATAATACTTTCATATTTATCATGACATAAATTTCCTCTGAGACGTACGTACATATTCATGGTATGCTTATCATACATATACATCATGATATCTCACCTGACATAAACATAATCATATTATAGTAAGCATAATCATTCAACGTGTCTGTGAGCGTTCTAACCGTAAATTCACTTATAGTTATCGACTCAATTTGGTATTCCTAATCTCCCACTATTTATTTCTCATTTGGACGGGTATTTTTTTTTTTTTTTAAATGAAATATGAATTTGAAACTAAAAAACTTTTTAAAATTACTTTTTTTTTATTCTCAAAATTCATTTTGAGGAAGAAATTAATAAATTATTTAAAAAATGAAAAGAAATAATTATAAATATTTAACCGACAAAAAAAAGTCGAATATGATACCAAGGAAGAAAGCGTGGCAAAATTCTGTTCACTCCTTCAACTCCCAACGGTTTGGAGAGAACAGTGCCCGTTATCAATGGTTCAAGTGCGCCCATTGACATGGAACGTGGAGCTCTGCAGGTTCGATTCAGTATCTCCATTGGAGGACTCGCAATGTTTCTTCTCAAGGCATGTACTCTTCTCCGATCATCTCTTTGTGTCCGATTTTCTTTTGTTACGGCACCAAAATCTTGATACAAAGCCGGGATTTATGTGTTTGGAGTTGTAATCCTTTTCCCGTTGTTGCAGGCATGGAGAGTCTCAGTTTTTGGCGCCTATGGCTACCTCAACTTCACCAAATCTGCATTCAGGTAACATTTTCCCCTCTTTTTTGTCTTTAATTTTTCAGTGTAAGTTGTATGTTTGGAGTATATGGGAAACTTCCGGTAGTAATTTAGGGTGAGTTTGTAATGAACTTTGGAAGGATTTGAAGTGCTTTTAACAAGCAATTTTCAACGATTGATTCTCTTTAAACTTTGATTATGGTGGTTTGTCTACTGATTAACACGCTGTTCATCTATTTAGTTCCTCGAAAACCCCATTTATTTTCATAGCTTTTTTGGAATTTAGATTTTAATGCGTCTTCTTGTGTCTTGCTGAATAGTTCCATTCCGTTTAACTCCACTAAATCTGAAAGGTTTGAGGTAAAAGTATATTTAATCTTTCATTCATAGGTGCACGGATTGATTATTAGTGTAATGGCCCAAGCCCACGATATTGTCCTCTTTGAGCTTTTTCTGTTGAGTGTGGAAACTACACTCAACCTCTCCCTAGCAGACGCGTTTTAAAAACTTTGAAGGGAAGCCCAAAAGGGAAAGTCCAAAGAGGACAATATCTGCTAGCAGTGGGCTTGAGCCGTTACAATTAAAGGTTCTTGGAGGTTCTTGTGATGTTAAATCATTAACAATTTCATAAATATGTTTTAGCTTCGTTAATATGGTTAACTTATGACTGTTTTATGCCTATAGTGAACATTCTAAGATGTTCAAACCAGAAGATATGCAAGCAAACATTGAAGGGAAAAATTGCATTGTTACTGGGGCGAATTCTGGGATTGGATATGCAACTGCAGAGGGTTTAGCATCACGGTCTCGATCCCTTTTCCAACTCAATTGTTTCGGTTTTTGTTATATTTGTTGAGTCTTCAAGGAACACAACTTATGTAAAAAGAATATCTATTCGTTGGAACCATGAAATTTCTAATGTTTTTGCAGTGGAGCTACCGTCTACATGGTATGCCGCAACAAGGAAAGAGGAGAAGCTGCTCTCTCTGAGATAAAGTCTAAAACAGGAAACCAAAATGTTCATTTGGAGGTAGTTCTTTTCCAACCACCATTAACAAGAGAATGTGGCTCCGATATAAAAATCGTCAACTTCTACGAGTCGATAATTTTGTTACTCTTTTCTTGTTGATAATATTTGCAGCAGACCATTTTAGATTATGCTATATTTAAAATAATAGATTACTACTTTAGCTTTCTTGTTATCTGATCACTTTTCTTTCGTTTGCAGGTCTGTGATCTTTCGTCAATCAGAGACGTTAAGTCATTTTCCTCGAATTTTATTTCAAAGAATGTCCCGGTCCATGTTTTGGTAATGAATCTCTGTCTTCATAACATTTTTCTTTTAGGTTCTAAAAATTGTACGTTTTAGTCCATATTTCACGTTAATCTGCAAAATTGTTATCATTTACTTTCTTTCTCGACAACTGTTCCTTCTGTCTATGTAAAATCTCATATCAGTTGGAGAGGGGAACAAAACATTTCTTATACAGGTGTGGAAACCTCTCCCTAGCAGATGCGTTTTAAAACCTTAAGGGGAAGTCTAGAAGGAAAAATCTAAAGAGGACAAATGGTACTAGAGCTAGACACTTGGTGGTGTGTTAGCGAGGACGTTGGCCCCCAAGGGGGGGGGGGATTGTGAGCTCTCACATCAGTTGGAGAGAGGAACGAAACATTTCTTATAAAGATGTGGAAACCTCTCCCTAGCAAACGCATTTTAAAACATTGAGGGGAAGTTCAGAAGTAAAAGCTCAAAGAAAACAATATCTGCTAGCAGTAGGCTTAGATGGTTACAAATGGTATTAGAGCTAGACACTGGGGGTGTGCCAGCGAGAACGGTGGCCCCCAAAGGAGGTGAATTGTGAGATCCCACATCGGTTGGAGAGAGGAACGAAACATTTCTTATAAAGGTGTTGAAACCTCTCCCTAGTAGACGCGTTTTAAAACTTTGAGGGGAAGTCCAGATGGAAAAGCCCAAATAAGATAATATTTGCTAGGGTTGGAGTTGGGCGGTAACAGTCTACAATTATAAATATGTCACTTTAACATCATGAAAACAGTTGGATACAAAAGAGATTGATTTCCATTCCTAACTGTATGTAGGTTAACAATGCGGGATTGCTCGAGAATAATCGAGTTACAACATCTGAAGGGTATGATCTTCCATTATCTGTAACTTTTTTTCTCTAAGAAATAGTTGCCCAAAAGTGTTTAATAGTTTCTGAATTCCAGGTTCGAATTGAACTTTGCTGTGAATGTTTTAGGCACTTATGCAATGACTGAATTAATGATGCCATTGCTGGAGAAAGCTGCACCTGATGCAAAGGTCATCACAGTTTCTTCTGGTGGAATGTATTCAGTTCCCTTAACTAATGATCTGCAGGTGTGCTGCTTTGTTGAACTTCTTTGCTTTCTCAGTTTGTGAGCCTAATTCTTATTGGATCTTTGTTCTTTGTTTCCTTGTAGTTTAGTGAAGAAAAATTTGATGGGGCCAAACAATATGCACTTAACAAGCGAGTTCAGGTTAGTAATGCTCCATGTATCTTGTTCTAAAATACTATGCTTTTGATTTACTGTCCACTGTTCGAACGCGTTTTCCCGTTTTAGGTTTCGTGCATAAATGCTAAAAGTTTTGGTTTGTTTCATCGAGGGTAAGAAAAAAACTAGGGTATGAAAAGGGAGGGCTATTGCAAAAAGGGACTACTCCACACTAGTAAAACAAGACCTAAAGGAGGATAACTACAAAAAAAGCTTCACCACGGAGGGACTACTCCACACTAGTAAAACAAGACCTAAAGGAGGATAACTACAAAAAAAGCTTCACCACGGAGCATAGAACTTTTGTAATAGCCCAAGCTCAACGCTAGTACATATTGTCTGCTTTGACTTGTTATGTATTGTTGTCAGCCTCACATAGCCCAAGCTCAACGCTAGTACATATTGTCTGCTTTGACTTGTTATGTATTGTTGTCAGCCTCACAATTTTAAAACGCGTCTACTAGGGAGAGGTTTCCACTCCCTTATAAGGAATGCTTTGTTCCCTCTCCGACTGATGTGAGATCTCACAGTCCACTCCCCTTGAGTGCCCAGTGTCACGGTCCTACTTTTTTTACCGCGGGGCGTTGTGAGCGTAGGGTATGAAAAGGGAGGGCTATTGCAAAAAGGGACTACTCCACACTAGTAAAACAAGACCTAAAGGAGGATAACTACAAAAAAAGCTTCACCACGGAACATNGAACTTTTGTAATAGCCCAAGCTCAACGCTAGTACATATTGTCTGCTTTGACTTGTTATATATTGTTGTCAGCCTCACGATTTTAAAACGCGTCTACTAGGGAGAGGTTTCCACTCCCTTATAAGGAATGCTTTGTTCCCTCTCCGACTGATGTGAGATCTCACAGTCCACTCCCCTTGAGTGCCCAGTGTCACGGTCCTACTTTTTTTACCGCGGGGCGTTGTGAGCGTAGGGTATGAAAAGGGAGGGCTATTGCAAAAAGGGACTACTCCACACTAGTAAAACAAGACCTAAAGGAGGATAACTACAAAAAAAGCTTCACCACGGAACATAGAACTTTTGTAATAGCCCAAGCTCAACGCTAGTACATATTGTCTGCTTTGACTTGTTATATATTGTTGTCAGCCTCACGATTTTAAAACGCGTCTACTAGGGAGAGGTTTCCACTCCCTTATAAGGAATGCTTTGTTCCCTCTCCGACTGATGTGAGATCTCACAGTCCACTCCCCTTGAGTGCCCAGTGTCACGGTCCTACTTTTTTTACCGCGGGGCGTTGTGAGCGTAGGGTATGAAAAGGGAGGGCTATTGCAAAAATGGACTACTCCACACTAGTAAAACAAGACCTAAAGGAGGATAACTACAAAAAAAGCTTCACCACGGAACATAGAACTTTTGTAATAGCCCAAGCTCAACGCTAGTACATATTGTCTGCTTTGACTTGTTATATATTGTTGTCAGCCTCACGATTTTAAAACGCGTCTACTAGGGAGAGGTTTCCACTCCCTTATAAGGAATGCTTTGTTCCCTCTCCGACTGATGTGAGATCTCACAGTCCACTCCCCTTGAGTGCCCAGTGTCACGGTCCTACTTTTTTTACCGCGGGGCGTTGTGAGCGTAGGGTATGAAAAGGGAGGGCTATTGCAAAAAGGGACTACTCCACACTAGTAAAACAAGACCTAAAGGAGGATAACTACAAAAAAAGCTTCACCACGGAACATAGAACTTTTGTAATAGCCCAAGCTCAACGCTAGTACATATTGTCTGCTTTGACTTGTTATATATTGTTGTCAGCCTCATGATTTTAAAACGCGTCTACTAGGGAGAGGTTTCCACTCCCTTATAAGGAATGCTTTGTTCCCTCTCCGACTGATGTGAGATCTCACAGTCCACTCCCCTTGAGTGCCCAGTGTCACGGTCCTACTTTTTTTACCGCGGGGCGTTGTGAGCGTAGGGTATGAAAAGGGAGGGCTATTGCAAAAAGGGACTACTCCACACTAGTAAAACAAGACCTAAAGGAGGATAACTACAAAAAAAGCTTCACCACGGAACATAGAACTTTTGTAATAGCCCAAGCTCAACGCTAGTACATATTGTCTGCTTTGACTTGTTATATATTGTTGTCAGCCTCACGATTTTAAAACGCGTCTACTAGGGAGAGGTTTCCACTCCCTTATAAGGAATGCTTTGTTCCCTCTCCGACTGATGTGAGATCTCACAGTCCACTCCCCTTGAGTGCCCAGTGTCACGGTCCTACTTTTTTTACCGCGGGGCGTTGTGATCTTAACACGCTCACGACCAGCCTTAAGAGGAATTAAGCCCCATATATATTTTTTGCTCCGGCTTTGTGGCTTCGTCGGACCTTAGGCGAGATTTGTCTTTGTCACTCGAACATCGCTTGTGCGGAATCCAAGCTTGCCCGACCACACACATTGCCTGCCCGTGCATATTCAATCGTCTGTGACACAACCGACTTGTCTCTACATTAGGCCAAGTAATTCGACTCGACCTTGCCTCTGCTCGAGGCCAAGGTCTCTCAATGCACCATCGCGTCTCCTCTTGTCATCTCGATCTCCATCGACATGGCCCATATATCTTGATTTCATCTCGAGTCTTGGGGTGTCGTCGGCCATCACAACTCACTTGGTCATGCCATTGAGAACGAGCCCGCATGTCGCTCATCTCATCGGGATTTCTCGAACATCCATCCGTGTGGGTTTTATCAAGGCATTGGCACTCCTGTGTCCATGCCATGTCATTTACGAATACCGTGCCGGATAGCAAGTCTATGTAGCAACCTCCCACATGCGGGTTGGGGCGCAATTCCGGCACACTTGTGCCGCCCAGTACTATCCTTGAAAAATCCATTCCAAAAGAAGTTGCTCGAGACACTCGTCTCGGTACGCTCGCCCACGATGTGACAATTTATGTGTTACATGATAGCTCGCTTAGTCCACAAGGCTCAGGGGTGGTGGAGAGCTAACACCATGGTACCCCCTATAGTACGTTTTGAGCTATTTTCAATTTTTCAAGCATAGACATGATTTTGGCGAGCGGTCATACGGTGTCATATAGCGTCCGTCCAGTGTTCGATTGACACCAAACTTGGCGAGCATTCATATTTCATATGGATGGACTTAACTCTAGAACCGCATGCCCAAATTCCTTCTAGAACTCCGACTTTTGAGGTTAAAGCTCGGGACCTTACCCGGCCCTTCAACAAGCATATCTTTGCCCCTCTTGTCTCTAACTTGCTTATGTCTCAACTTGTCTTCAATGCGCACTTCGTGTGGTGTGTTAGATGCACTGTCTTCCTCGGTCGCATCATGACACTCGTCTAGGCCCTTGTGTGGCCAGATGGGCGCCACTTGAGGGTTTCCGCTTCTCTTGTCGCAACTTGAGGATCACAACCTACTCTCTTCATAGTTAGGTTGTGACATTCTCCCCCACTTAAACTAGTCATCATCTTCATAGTTAGGTTGTGACATTCTCTCTCACTTAAACTAGTCATCGTCCTCGATGACTTACGATGACTTACTTGGGGACACAACCATTGTTAGGTTGTGACATACTCTCTCACTTAAACTAGTCATCATCTTCATAGTTAGGTTGTGACATTCTCCCCCACTTAAACTTGTCATCGTCCTCGATGACTTACTTGGGGACACAACCATTGTTAGGTTGTGACATTCTCCCTCACTTAAACTAGTCATCATCCTCGATGACTTACTTCAAGGCACAACCACACTTTGGATTGTCACACCCAACGTTCTTGCTAGCACACCTTCTGGTGTTTGGCTTTGATACCATTTGTAATAGCTAAAACCCACTGCTAGTAGATATTGACCGCTTTGGCCCATTACGTATTGCCGTCAGCCTCACGGTTATTAAAACACGTCTACTAGGGAGAGGTTTCCACACCCTTATGAAGAATGTTTTGTTCCCTTTTCCAACCGATGTGGGATCTCACTTCTCCTTTGGGGCCCAGCGTTCTCGCTGGCTCACCGCCTTGTGTTTGACTTTAATACCATTTGTAACAGTCCAAACCCACCGCTAGCAGATATTGTCCGCTTTGGCCCGTTACGTATCGCCGTCAATCTCACGTTTTAAAATGCTTTTACTAGGGAGAGGTTTCCATACGCTTATAAGGAATGATTTGTTCCCTTCTCCAATCGAGGTGGGATATCACAACTTTACAAAGGAAAGCATATCACTTTAAATTCGTTTAAGTCCATTCTATTGTTCTTACACACCAAAGATCCCACAAAAACGGCACACTCGGGCTGCTACGAAAAGGATGATGAGACATTTTAATTATCTTTCAAAGTTCAATATGTTACATGCAAAGAAAGTAAAGCTAAGTAAAACTAATGTATGCATGGAAACCCAACAAAGTGCTACTGGTAGATGTGTAATTTATCTTTGCTTAACACTTATGAAGATTGATATTTTCAGGTGGCTTTGACAGAGAAATGGGCAGAGAAGTACTCCAACAAAGGGATCGGATTCTACTCGATGCACCCCGGCTGGGCCGAAACGCCCGGAGTTGCTAAATCTCTACCAAGTTTCACTAAATCGTAAGGATAACTAGCAAAATTTTTGTTATTCAAAACGGGCTAGATTATCAACTCCTCGCTCGATCATTTCAGGCTCTCGGGGAAGCTAAGAACGAGGGAGGAAGGGGCCGATACGATTATTTGGTTGGCGTTACAGCCGAATGAGAAGTTGGTACCGGGAGCATTCTACTTTGATAGAAGTGAAGCGCCAAAGCATTTAGCATTTGCTGCTACAAAGTCCTCTCATGCAACAATTGGGTCTATATATGATCATCTTCGTTCATTGTCTGGTTTGGCTCACTAATTTAGATCAGAAAAGGTGAAAAGAGTGTGAACTTCTATTATGTATTTTATGAAAACTTGTATGAATTAACTAACTACTGGTTCTTATTTTTAAGCCTTTTTATTTTCTTTTAACTATTTTTCTAAAACCTTTTGATTTTATCTCGGAGGAAGATCAAGTTATACTGTTGGGATCGTTTAGTTTGAGGTTTTACTTGAGGGGTGTACATGGTTCGGATTGGGTTGGTTTGAGGGATTTTTTTGACCCAACTCAAAAGTTCGGGTTGGTTGGATTGGTAATTCAATCTAACCCAAAAATTTTCACAATCTGACTCAACCCAACCATCTATTTTCGGGTTGGGCTGTCGAGCTGTCAAATTTTTTTTTTTAAAGTTTTATTTATCCTCAATAGCAAAAACTGAACAATTAAATACCGACATACCCAACCTAACCATCTATTTTCGAGTTGGGTTGTCGAGTTGTCAAAAAAATTTTTTAAAAGTTTTATTTATCCTCAATAGCGAAAACTAAACAGCTAAATACCGACATACTACTTTGCATCAAACTCAAGCGTGGGTGTCTTAGAGAAGAATCCAAGGTACCACTTTAGCAAACCTATTAATACAAAAGTTTTATCTACGAACCAAAAATTGAATCGATTCAGTTTGGGTTCAGAAAAATGAACTCATCCGAAATGCTAATTATTGAATGTACAACCCTAAGATGAACGGCATTTGGTGTGGCATGAAAAATGCTAAAATGCTAAAATTTCACGTAAATAAATAATCTTTTTTTTATTATTTTCTATAATTTTATTATATTAGTGAATTTTAGATAATTAACAGTAGTTAGTTAATTTATTTTTAATAAGTAAAATTATTAAAATAAATTTAATAATTTTAATTTTAATTTATTTTGAGTTATTTAATAATAAAAATCATTATCCTCAAATAAATTAATTTAATAATATTTGGTAAATTTATACTAAAAAATAATTAAAACATAATTAAATTAAAAATTAATTATACTTATTATATTTGAAAAATCAAATATAATTAATTTATCTCTCCTTCCACCTTAAAATATATTTATTTCCTCTTTTCTTCTTTCAGCCTCTTTATAAATTATTTGAAAATGATTGATAGATAAAATATAATTTTTTTATTTTTCGCTAATTTTGATATTCGGGAGACTTGACTAAATAGGGAGTTAGAGAATATAATTCCACGCGATAAATTCATTCATTCCTTCCTATATAGGAAAAGTAGATAAATAATTTTCGTACGTACTTATTTTAGGACTTGAACAATGGGCTTCACCCTCACACTGTTTCGAGAGAGACTTGATTTATGATTGGATCATAAACAAATTGTTTGTTAATAATCAGTAGTATTTAAGAGGTAAGATGTAACTATAAGGATAAAATAGATTTTTGGGCTAGCTGTAATTACGGACAAGTTGTTGAATGATAGACTTACTTGTACTGATTATATTAAGGGACCCAACTTGTCCTACCGTGCATAAAAATGCAACTCTAAGTCTATAGTTAATATGTGAAAATTGATTAATAAAAGAGTTAAATTAATTAATTTTGTACCTATCCTCTTTCTAACTCATAGTAATACTAAAAGGATCGGTCTAGTTGAAAAAAAATATATATATTAAAATATCTACAAGCCTTGATCTTGTGTTATGGATCGAGGAAAACTTTACATATGAGATTCAATCTTGGAGGAGCTGGATTAAGTACATTAAAGGTTTGTTAAGTTTGTTTAATTCTAAATAAAATTATAGTCGATTTTCAACGTTGACACTACGTAGTGACACCTTGACCAATTCCAAGGAAGGAACCGGAATAATAAGCACATTTAGAAGGTGTGAGAGGACAAATAGATGACTTTTCATCAAGAGAGTATAGTGACACTGACCGTGCAAAAACACCCTTACCCAACCATGAGGTGTCAAGAGAAGGAGTCGTGAGGAGGGGTATTATACAAGAACAAATAATCTCGAGTAATACTAAGATTGGGAATCGTAACCAAGGTGCATACAAAATCAAGTCGTCCCAACAAGTCTCGAGAGGACCTCTAGTGATAGTAGAGGTAGTCATTGTGAAGGAAGGTGTTTAATCTCTAATATCGACCACAAGTGCTTTAAGAGGAGCTGGAATACGAGCTAAAAGGTATGATTTGGTAGAAAGAATACAACTGAGAATAGTCCTTTTGATACTCGAGACTTTTCTTTTGATAAAACCTTAGTAAATATGTCTGCTAGTTGTTCATTGGTGTTACGATACTTCAAATCAATTTCTTCCTTTGCTACAAGATTGCAAATATAATGGTGTCGAAGTTGAAGATACTTTGTTCTGCTGTGAAATGTCGGGTTTTTTGTCATAGAATATTTCAGTTGCCCCTTTTTGTTTTTGTTGAAGATTAGCTAACACTCTTCTTAGCTAAATGACTTGACATAGCTAAACCTGTTGCAATCTATTATGCTTTTGAAGTTGACAACATCACTGTCTATCATATAATGATCCTGCCCGATCCCAATAATTTGAAATTAGAAGATTTAGAATACCAAATTTCATACTCCATGGTTCTAGAAACATAACGTAAGACTCTCTTTGCTGCTTCATAATGAACCTTTGAAGGATATTGTATAAATCTAGAAATAATACCAACAGGAAATGTAATGTCGGATGGTGTGTGTGTTAAGTAAATTAATCCACCGACCAAGCTTCTGAAACTTCTAACATCTGTCATTCTCGTGGTTTTGAGCATAAGCTCTCGTGGCTTTGCTTTGGGCTTCCCAATAGAGAGAGTTGTCATTTTCGTGGCTTCTAAAACTTCTAACATCTATCATTTTCGTGGCTTTGAGCATAAGCTCTCGTGGCTTTGCTTTAGGCTTCCCAATAGAGAGAGTATTCCTTGATTATAAACTCATGATCATTTCCTAAATTAGTCAAGACTTTCATCTAACACCTCCCCTCGAACAAAGTATGCATCCCCTTAATCGATGCTCGACTTCTTTTCTTTTGGAGTCCTTTGTTCGACATTTGAGGATTCTATTGACATGACCCCGCAATGGTATGATATTGTCCCCTTTGAGCATAAGCTCTCATGACTTTGCTTTGGGTTTCTCAAAAGGCCTAGTTCGCTAATATTTTTATAAAATATACTTGAATAAATACAGTAAAATAAGCCTTTGTGCTTTTAACTCAGAGCTAAATTTCTTTGTAATTTTATATAGTTTAGATTGCATGTTTGGAATCATTAAAGCTTGACATGATCAATCTTGCCTGTCGGGTGAATCAAATATGTTTTGTTGTCGTAAGATATTTGGATAACAAAGCAATCTAGATCTTACTCTCGAGTGATTTCTTAGTTCTTTGATATGTTTTATATCTAAAGATCTTATTTTTCAATAAGGTTGTTATATCGAGTTTCCAAGAGTTAGGGGTTTTAGCATCCGTGATCTAGAAGTTTGCATATCCATAAATATTTACGAGGACTCTTAGATTCAATTCGCTAGGGTTATTACCATATAAGATACGAACAAACGAGGACATTTTATTTTATCAATTTCGTTGGTCACTTGCCAGTAGTGAAACTAACGTGAGGTTTAATATTTTAATTTTTGGTATTACACTTCCTCACACGACATTCGTGTTTGGTGTGGGAGCTCGAACAAGTATAATAAATTTAGAACTTCAAGAATTTTGAGAGACGATATTTAGGGTGTCATGACTATCTTTTACCGACCCTTTAAATCTAGGGCTTCTGTCCTAAGCAAGACGAAGAGTTGTATTCATCGTTATAACTAAAAAAAAAATAAAAATAAAAATAAAAATAAATCAAGGTTCAATTGCAACACGTTCTTGGCATACTCAAAAATAAAAATAAAAATAAAAATATTTGCTAACATTTTTATCATAAATCAAAAATAAAAATAAAAATATAATTTATTAGACAAATAATATATTTGAATTTGAATAATAATATAATTTGGTCTTAATTGCCGACCAAAAAACAGTTTGACTTCCTTATTTTAACCGAAAGTGGGGAACCGACCAATACGTCATCGTTTTAGTTTTTTAATTTTTTTTTATTATTTATTTTGTCTTTTTTGTCAATGTTCCTATCAACTATATATATATATATATATAAATAACAAATTCTTAAAAATAATTTATTATTTTAACTATTTCATTTTACTTTTATTAAATACAAAATTTTAAATAAATGACTTTGAATAACCATAGTTATTAATAACTAAATAAATATATAGTATAAAAGTTTATTAGATAGTCTTTAACTGTCGTTATTAAAAGAAACAGTATTCGAAAACCTCGTGAGATCATGAAACCCCCTTATTCTTTTTTATCTCCCCATTTATCAACAACCACCCTTTCCCTCATTCAGAATCGAGGTCATCACTGTTCGAGAGAGAGAGTCCTCGACATCCATCCAAGCCAACATATCTATCTTCCCGAGCAACTCTGATACATGATTGACGTTACTAACCAAGAGGGAATTCACAATGGTGGAGACAATCGACAATGACATGTAGACGATCGATAAACACAGATTCTCTTAGGTTGTTTGGTTTTGGGAAGGATGTTGGGTTCTTTTCTTTCCTCACAATTACCACTGTATGTAGGTTCCATGACGTCGTGATCGTTATAAAAGAATCATCAGAGCAAGCAGTGAGCGAGGAGGGTGCACTTAGTCATTGTCGGAGAACACAAAGAGAACAAAGAAAAGAGAGAGAGAATCGGGAAAAGCTAGAAAGACAGGTTAAGAAGAAGAAACCTGCGGGTTAAGTCATATTCGGATCTGATTTGGACAGATTCAGTACTGTGTATAGCAATTGGATGTCCATAAGGTCCATGCCCCAAAAAAATCATGTAACACATAGGTCAACCTGTGTGAGCATGCCTAGTGGACCATGTGTAAAGAAGTTGATAAGATAAAGAACCACTACAAGGGGAGTAAGATTAAAAAAAAGTTAAGTACTACACATCCAATCATGGTTGGACTAGAAAGTTACTTAAGCCATGCCATATAGTTTTTAAAATGATAAGTCTCACCATATCACATGTGTTTGCATTTCTCGGTCCCAACAGTGTGGTTACTTACTGAGTAGTTCTTAAAATACTCAAGTGTACTATTCTTATTTTTTAGGTAAAGGTAAGTGACCGGAAACGGGTTACAAAAGTTAAATATTCTTAATTTTCATAATAATCTTAAAAATAAGGTAGGGTCCGACTGAGTTGTAACTCTATTTTTTTTTTTATGGTCAGATTGACTCGACAAAAAAATAATATTTACGGGCAACACGAAAAAAATAATTGCAAAAAAAAAGTTATTTCAATTTAAATAATATTTACGGGCAATACGAACAACAATCCATTTATCACATTCTACACTAGAAACTGAAATTGTAACCGTAATAAATACAATGTCATAGACCTAACCACGTGCTCACAATTTTTCTAATATATATTGTGAGATCCCTCATTGGTTGGAGAGGAGAACGAAACATTTCTTATAATAGTGTAAAAACCTCTCCCTAACAGACGCGTTTTAAAATCATGGGCTGACAACGACACGTAACGAGTCAAAGCGGATAATATCTAATGACATAATAATGAATTGAGCGTTAACAATTTACATCCGAGCTCTTCTTGATCTTCTGATGATATTTGATTTATATTAATTTTGAGAGATAAATAAGTAAAAACGACGAAGTTGACATGTTATTTTCAGACGATTTGGATCTCCACTTAATTTCCCGTGAGCTTCGTATAATTTATGTAATAAAAAAATAAGAAAATTTAAATTATGTATAGACTATTACTAGGTTGATTCCATAGTGCAAAAAAGATAAAATAACAAGAAAACATCAAAGTGATGGTCGAATAGGCCAATTAGAATTCGACACGTAATTATGTTTTAAATTAACAATAAATTCATGCTATTAAATTTGTAACAAATTTCAAATTACTTTTAAAGACGAAAACGACAAATCTAAAATGATTTACGTGTCTTAATCGTGGCATTTTGGTCAAATTGGATCATATAGCAATTACGTTGAAGATCAAATAAACGAAAAAACTCAATAATTTGACCCAAAGCCCAAACTCGAAGGGTTAGTAGAGGTGTACTTGGGTTGAGTTGAGGAATTTTTTTGAACCAACCCTAAAGTTCGAGTTGATTAGATTGGTAACCCAACCCAACCCAACCCAACTCGAAATTGTATCACAACCCATCCCAACCTAACCACATCTGAATGAGTGCGATCCTGAGGATATAATGATGAAAGTTACTACCTATACTAACAAAGGGCACCTTCCTTTTCGGTAGCTCAATAATAAGAATTCAATAGTTAAACGTGTTTTATTTGAAGTGATTTTATGTTAGGTGATCTCATAGGAATTTTATTGGGATGAGTGAGGACAATGCAGGCTATAAAGACGCGTGTTGGTTTGTGAAATAGTCTTCACTTTTAAGAAATAAGGAGTAGGTAACGTGACCATGATGCAGGGAAATGTTGGGACTATCTGGTGTCGAATTCGAATTCTGAATCATATGGATGGGTCATTATAAATATCTTAAGTAAGGAGTAGGTAATGTGACCATGATGCAAGGGAATGTTGGAGCCACGAGGTGTCAAATTTGGATTCCGAATCCTAAGCATGGGTCATTATAAATAGCATGAGAGTGATGCCACTCCTAGTAAGATATAGTTCGAGGATGAACCAAGGCGAAAGTTGACGGGCATGTGACATCCGAGTAAAGGAGAAGTAACTGAATGAACCGAGAACACATCTGAATGAGAGTGATCCTAATGAAAGTTACTACCTATGTAAACAAGGTGTACCTTTTTTTTTTAGTGGCTCAATCATAAAGACGCCATAGTTAAATTTGTTTTATTTGAACCAATTCTTTGTTGGTGCCTCTGAGGTGAGATCACATCTGAATGACATCGATCCTAAAGATATGATGACTAAGAAAGACTTATGAAAGTTATTACCTATACAAATAAATTGCAACTTCTTTTTTAGTGGCTACATCATAAGAACTCCATGGTTAAACATGTTTTACTTGAAACAATTCTATATAGGGACCCTCCTAGGAATTTTTGTGAAATGTATGTGAGTGAGAACAATGGATCTTGGAAGAACCCGTGTTGGGTTGTGGGGATGATCCTCACTCTTAAGAAGTGAGGAGTAGTTTATGACCTTTCTGAGTTGGGTCGGGTTGAGTTGTCGAGTTGGACTGCTGCTGTAAGTGGTGGCTCAATATAAGAACTCCATAATATAACGTGCTTTACTTGGAGTAATTTTATGATGGGTGACCAAGATGCATGTGGGTGAAAACAAAGAATCCTAAAAGAACTCGTGTTGATCTATGGAGATGATCTTTACTCATAAGAAGTGAGAAGTAGGTCATGACCTTTCTGGGTTGGGTCAGGTTGAGTTGTCGAGTTGGATTGTTGCTGTAAGTGAGCATGTTTGTCTTGGAAATTGAAGGTAGAAGAGAAAGAGAATACTGATGATTCTACGAGGGGGGGAACTGTAGCAAACAACAAGACAAATCAGCCTTAAGTATGTTGAACCTAGACCTGTCCCGACCTACTGTGATTCTATAAAGGGGACACGGTAGCAAACAACCAGACAAATTAGCTTTAAGGATGTTGAATATAGACCTATCCCAACCTACTCAGTTCTTAGAAAGCTAAACTCAACCCAACTCAGTAACCTATCTAACCCAATCAAACCCTTATAATTTGAGTTGGGTCGATTTGAGTTCAAGTTCATCCTGTGGTTTGTCATTGGACGGTAACTATTTTTCGGTAATTACTCAATTGATTTAGACTTATATCATAAATAAATTAAAAAAAAATAATTGTTTAAAAAAAAAAAGTAGACACATTCAACCAACTAAGGAACATTATTTAATTAGAAAAAGACATTTTGCATTATATATAAATTCATAGGATGAAATTATTCTTTCAACCAATCAAAACTAGAGAGAGAACTAGCAGCACATATAAAGAAAATTCTCATCCCTCGGATCATTCCAATACGAAAATCAACGGTCAAGAAGTGAGATGAACAGTACAGCCACGCCGCACCATATTATAGCTCCAAGGAAAATATCTCATCACGGTCGGTTTGTCTTTGCCTTCGAACTATAATTCTTTTTTACGCACTCAGCATTGTTTCATAATTATAATATTCCCACCAGACGAGGGTATTTTGGTACTTTCACATCCAAAGCCACGTATGCAGTAATGTTGAGCTCTCACAGCGCTTCTAAAGATCTCAAATCTTTCTCTCTCTAAACTGACGGCCTTTGAAAAGATTCCCTCTCTCTCTCTCTCTCTCTCTACACCAAAAATTACTTGGCATAAAAACAAAGGAATATACCTTTTAGAGAGAGAGAGAGAGAGAGGGAGAGAGTTACAGTTTGTGGAATTTTTTGGCTGAAGCGGAATCGATTTTCAGGTACTTCGTTTTCTTTTACTGTTTTTTTGATGTGAATCGGTGACATTTAGAGAAGAAGTTGCGAAATCTGAATTGAAGCTTGGATCATCTGGTTGTTTTTTTTTTTAATTTGATTTGTTGTATTCGTTTTGAAACCTGTTGTTTACCTTCTTGTTTCTGATTTGAGTTTTATTGTTTGTGATTTTGTATGATTTGTTCGTTTTTGGTTTAATTTTGACTTCATTTTGTTGTTTATGGTTTATTAATTTACGTTTTTTTTTTCTTTTCTTTGTATTTTATCTTGCAGAGGATTGGTTTTATTGTTGTTATGGCAATTGTAAGTATGGAGTTGTGAACTTCTCAGGAACTGGAACTTGAAAAATCTATAGCGGTACAAGGGGTTGGGTTTGGGTGAATTTCTTAAGGGGACCTGAAGCTAGATTTTGGATATTGAATACATTTCTTCAAGCCTTTTTTTTAGAATTCGTGGCTAATCGAAATTGGTTGTCGTTTTGGGATGCTGAATTACGACATTTGGATTCTTGATTGGTAGCAAATGAAGATGGAGTTTGTGCAATTGCCTAGTTGATTTGTTGGCAATTGAAGAGGTAGCTTTAAGGGAAATATATTGAAAATATATGGCAACGTCAAGTGAGAGATGGATCGATAGACTTCAATTGTCCTCCTTATTTTGGCCTCCCCCAGATGATGATCAGCAAAGAAAGGTACAGAGGCTTTCATGTTTTATATATGATCAATTTTTGGGATGGTACTTTCTCTCATCATATGAGATTATTTTCTAATATAGTTCAAGTTGATTAGTAAGCCCGAAGTTATATTTATCATTCTTCATGAGATTGTTTTCTAATATAGTTCAAGTTGATTAGTAAGCCCGAAGTTACATTTATCATTCTTCATGAAGTTGCTGGGTCCTTGTTCTTGAATAATGTTCCATTGTTTTCCTTGATCTTTTCCTTGTTATGGTTTTCTAGGCACAATAATGTTTTATGATGCATTTTAATTTTTTTAATTCCTTATTATGTGGACATTTACTGGAATAGCTCATAGAATTAGAATATGGGTCAAGCAATTCATCTGCTTTTAGTTAGCTACTGTCAAAACTAACTATGGCATACTAAAGGAATAAATATTTGGGAACTTCTGCTGGAATTTCAATATAAGGAAATTTCGACAATGTGTGCTAATCTCAGAATTTCAATATGAGGGACTTAATTCTGATTAATTTTCCTTTATGAGTGTCTGCACATGCCTCTAACAGCTTATTATCTTCTTTGCTGGAAATGGTTACATTTATTTAAGGAGTAGATTGGTACTGGGCTACCTTCTTACTATTCACGTGTACTAGATAGACCCTACAGGTGAAGATAGTATTTTTCATAAAGGAAATGGTAGCAATAAGAACAAATGAAATACTTTATAAGGTGGTCTTTTGTTATGAAGTTGATGCTATTAGTCTCTCAATGGTAAAAGTTTGGGTACGACGCAAGTGTACATATATTTAGGTATGATGCAAATGTGAAGTGTGTGGAATTTTGTGAGAGTTTGTGTATCGACTCTACTTTTTTTTTTTAAAAGAAAATAAGGCCACTACTACATGCATGTCATGACTACTGTATGTAAAAAAATTTAGCATTGTCGTGGACTTCAATGTTTATAAATATTTCAAATTTAATAATAAAATAACATAGTTAAAAAAGTAAAAAAACATCTCTTATCACAAATTAGAAATAAATGTCATCGACTTATCCTAACATAATGACTATAACTTAATGTGGAAATCTGTCGGGACTTGATTCATGGCTTCCTCGGCTGACGCCATATCTGTATGTGGGGGCTTTACCTTTACCTGGAAAAATGTTAAACATGGTTTGAGTATTTAAAGGTACTCAATAAGTGACCCCGTTCTTGGTGTCAGAAAATGCATTCACATGCAAACATGGTTCGTGCTTGCCTCTCTCGTGCTCACTCCTCTGGGAGCACTTCCACAAGCATTGCTCGCCTCTCTCATGCTCACTCCTCTTGGAGATCTTTCATGGGTGTTTCTCACCACTCTTGTGCTCACTCCTAGGAAGTGGCGTTCCTCGCCTCCCTTGGATGCAACATAATAGCCTCCTCTTATAGATCCAGATTGCTCCATGACTCCGACGAACCGATAATTACACTTGCCCCTATCTGCACACCTAGTATCATGTATGGTTTAAGATCAATTGTTTCCTTGAATCTGATGTGGCCATCCAATTTACTATAATGACCCGAACACTAGGACTGAACCTCTTTATATGAATTGTCAAGATAGGAGGGGCCCTGTGAATGAGAAACCTCTTTGTTGCATCTCTTTTCACATTCACAATTGTTGAATCAGAATTCATCTCACAATCCTCACCTATCTAATTGGTTCTCGGCAGATATTTGTGAACTTAAGGGCTCAATATTAGTTTTTGCCAGTTCACTGCTTTCAGGATCATCGTTGGAAAGATAACACCTGGATTTATCTTCATTGCTGGTTTTATTACAACCTGAAGAATATGCTAGGCCAGGATTCATTATTTTTAGAATCCTGAGTAGTGGAAATATCACCATTTTTGGCTGTTAGTTCTGGTCCAAGGAACGTCAAATTAACTGAAGCACATTTTCCTCCCTTCTCAATCAAAGCTTCTTTTTCAGGCTCTTTAACATATGAGGCATTCAGAGAACTTAAAGTCTTCTCCATAATGGTAGTATTGCTACTGGCGCTGGCCTCTGATGCAAGGGAAAACTCATTATTAGATGATGGAAGAGGCAAATTGAACTGGTACAACATCTGATGTCTTGTCAGTTTTAGGAATCGTCTTTCCACTACGCTTAGGTGGCACTTTTATCTTCTTTGCCTGAAAGACTGGTTGGACCTTTTTGGCCAGAGGTTTCTTCATTGGAACCGGAAGAGAAAGATCAAGAAATGGTTCATAAACCATCGTTGTGTGGCCACATTCTTTGTAAGATACAGCACTTGATATGTCCCCCCAAACATCTCATCAACAAATGGAGTGGGATTTCCAGACATTCTCTCTTCCTTGAAGTCAGCTCTTCAATACAAGCAGGGCACGAAGCAATTCATGACTGTCATGTTGCTCATATCTTTTGAACTGAGGAGCTTTGGAAGAGATGCAGCCAAAAACTGATTTTGGATTTATTGAGCCTTTCATTCTGCCTTCCGTTCTTGCTTCTTTAAAGATTTTCTTTATGGCTATAGTTAGAGGTCCAACACATTCTTCCAATTTCATAAAATGATCACTCAACATATCAGTGTTCAAGAGATTTTGATGGATTGAATGGAAAACCTAGATTAATCAATCCTTTTACAACATAATGATTTCTTCCGTCCAGGTATTGGAGTCCAGCTTTGGAGATCTTAGTTTTGTCGCCTCATTTTCTTCCTTCGACACCCTTGACTCCCTCCATTATTGAATACAATTTTGAATATCGGACTTTGATGACTTGTGATGACGATTTAAACAAGAGTTAGTCTGAAACACGAGTTATCCAAGTCACCTACGCAAACATCTTTTGTGCTCGAAAGCGGTGGGCTTGTAGAATGGCGATGGTTGAAGGAATGGAAAAGGGCTTAGGATGGAACAGTGACCATGGGCTTTTGAAGAGTTTAAGTTTAATTTTGGGCTTAGGATTTGAAAAATAGTGGGTTTGGAAACTGAAGCGAAAAGCCACAGTGGATTAGGATTTCAAGACAATAGGATTTGAAAAAACAGAGGTGAGTGGCTTAGGATTTGAAAGCAGAGGTGAGTGCCTTAGGATTTCAAAATAGAGGATTTTAAAGCAGAGGTGGCTATTGGATATTGCGGCTGGGCTATTGATGAAGTGGAAAAAAAAGACATGTAAATGCTTGCGGAACTATTGCCGTGATGGAAGGCTAAATATTATTGCGGTGATGGCTTGTATATGCTGGTAGATATGAGGTAGTTTGTAGTCAGAATATACAAATCTGAGGCTGCTCCTCTTTTATTTTTATTTTTCACAATCCAAATGAAAATTGGTCCCGGTGAATGGAGGCTCCGATTGAAACTTGACGACAGTTGGGAAGGCTCCGAATTGAACTTGAGATGATCGACAACCGATTGAGTTAGGATTTTGGTTCTAATCAGATTCTCCAAATATCTCCTAACTTAAGGCTAATCCTTTGACAATAGATTTAACCTAAGTTATTACCCAATAGGAATCAATTGTTTGTTGATGGTTATTTGTGAGGGCTTCTATCGGGCAAACATCCTCTACTGATACCACTCCTTACTCATTCTATAAATTAAAGTTCGATGTACATAAAGCCTAAACTAGGAATAGTAAATTACAATAAAAGACAAAAAACTAATAAACTCGTATATTCACATATGTACACTATAACACTCCATCTCAGGCTAGAGCATATATGCTAATCATGCTCAAATTTTTTACAAAGGTAATCTTTTTGAACTCCATTTAAAGCATTCTTGGAAATGTCTCTTAATTGCTCTCTGATCTTGACATATCCACTAGACACCAAACCTTGTATTTTCTTATGAACAAAATGAGAATCAATTTCAATATGTTTAGTTCACTTGTGAAATATTGAGTTGAATGCAATAGAAAGGGCATCTTGGTTGTCACAACAACTTGGTTGAGACTGTAAGATTAAGGCCTAACTCACTCAAAAGTTGATATACCCACATTATACTGATTGTACCATAGCTCTATTCTTTGATTTAGCACTTGATCATGATTCTACAACCCAATGATTCACTATGGGTGAAGTCATAAATTGACTACCAATGCTTACTAAGTTAGATATGTCCAGTCATGTAATTATTAGATAATTCAACTTTCCAACTAATCTTCTATATCTTTCAGGATCTTTTAATGGTACTCTATCTTTCGTAAGTTCTAGACCAGGCATCAACAGAGTATTGCATGGCTTGGCTCCAAATTTTCCTGTTTCATATTACAAATCAAGCACATATTTTCTCTATTACATAAAGATACCCTTCTTGCTTCTCAGTACTTCAATTCCCAAGAAGTATTTCAACATTCCAAAGAAGTACTTTAACATTCCCAAGTCTTTAATATGAAACTGACTTTGGAGGAAGATTTGGGATATAATATACCTTCGTATCACTTCCAATAATGATACTATCATCAACACATACAACAAGTAGAATAACACCATTCATAGATCGTCAGTAGAAGGCCGAGTGATTCAGTTTGCTTTTTTGACAACAAGAAAAATAATTCTATTCACAGATCGTCAGTAGAAGGCAGAGTGATTCAATTTTCTTTTTTCCATTCAAAACTTCTCAAGTGTTTGATTGGATTTTTCAAACCATGCTCGTGGACTCTATTTCAACCCATACAAAAATTTGCAAAGGCAACAAACTTCATCACTCTCATCCTAAGCAACAAACCTAGGTGGTTGCTTCATATATACTTTCTCCTAAAGATCACCATGAAGAAATGCATTTTTAATGTCAATTGATGGAAAGGCCAACCTTTAGAAGTTGCAATAGAAATGAATAACCTGACAGAAGTTGGCTTTGCTACATGAGAAAATGTATCAAGATTGAAGTTAGCTTTGCTACATGAGAAAATGTATCAAGATTGAAGTTAGCTTTGCTACATGAGAAAATGTATCAAGATTGAAGTTAGCTTTGCTACATGAGAAATGTATCAAGATTGATGTTAGGTTTGCTACATTAGAAAATGTTTCAAAATAATCAATCCCATACGTATGAGCATAGCCTTACAAAGAGAAATAGGAAGTTCATCACTTGGTCTTGGATCTAATGTCATAGAATATTTTGGAACAGAACATTCACATGTAGGTTGTTGCTGTCTAGAATAGGCTTGAGTAATAGGTGGATGGGTAGGGTCATATTTCTGAAGGGATAGATCTAAGGAGGGTGTGGGAGACACAAGTGTATAAATAAAAAGGATCATCATCTTCCTCCTAACTTGTATCAGACAAAGATGGATGAGTGGTTTGTTCTCAAAGAGAGTAACATCACGAGATATGAGATATGAGATATGAGATACCAGTTCAAACTACGGCAATTAAATTTGTATCCTTTTTGAACATGACAATTGCCTTAGAAAATACACTTCAAAGATTTGGGGTCTAATTTTTTCCGATCATGACAAACATCTCTAACAAAACAAGTACAACCAAAGATTTTTTTGTTCAATAGCTGGCGAAGGGTTTGTTGGGAAGAGAACATGATAGTGAGTCTTACCTTGAAGAACAGATTTTTTGTTGAATAGCTGGAAAAGGGTCTGGTATTCTTGGAATTTATGAACCTCTAAAGAATTAGCAAATGGCTTCTTAGATGAACCATGGATGGATGGAGTCCTCAATTAAACCATATTAGATATTATTGTGACCTTCTTTCCAACTATAGATCAATGACGAATATAGAAGCACAATGTAATCAAAATAACGAATTTAGACGGCCGCACGATTTCTGAAAATCTAACAAGAATGGAGTGTTCAATAAATCTGCTTCTTTTACAAAATCAACTTCAAACCCCAGTAGATCATTGGCCAAGATACTCACTCAACCAGTCGAAAATAGAAAGAACCAACAAATCACTCTAACCGGAGAGACTAAAAAAGGGCTAAATTGTCAAAAAAATATTAAAGTAGAACTGAAACGCAAAAAACGAATTTGAATCGAGACAATTGCAGGTACTTGCCCAAATATCCTCACATTTGAGTATGTTTTGTCAGATTCAAATACAAATATGCTGAAAAACAAAAATTGAGATAAACCCAAGCCTCGAAGCACTGGTTTGATAGTCCATGCGCTCTCAAGTGCCCGCACATGAAATGGAGGGTGGTGGCTTTGAGCGGCATGGACATTGACATTGGTGGCGGGTTTAGGTGTAGATGGGTCATTAAGCTCACAAAACCTAAGGTGAAAAACAAAGGTCCCAAATTCCAAAGCTCACAAACCCTAATGGGTAACAAAATCCTAATTGAGATGGAAAATGTAAGGGTGTTGACCTATAACTTCTAACTGCCTAACTGTTGTGTTTCCTTGTAAATAACTTTGTTAGGAAAGTTAGATCTAATTATATTATTTAATGATTAAAGACGGGCCGAGTGAGAAAAGTTTAGTCCTTTTTAAAATAGATTTAACATGCTTTTGTACCCAATGGGAGCTAAATCTGGCTTGTTGATGGTTATGTGTGAGGCCTCCAATTGTGCAAACTTCCTTTAAGAGGGTAAAAGGGGATCTCGCTGCTAACAATAGTGGGGCAAGGGAGATTGTGCGTGTATGGAAAAGGAAGTTTGTCTACTTTCGTAGGGGAGGGAAATTAGGTAGAGGCATTGTCGAATTTTGAGGCTGAACGGCTTGGTAGGAGAGGTTCCCAGCTCTCTGGAATTAGTTGGTTGTTTGTGTTCTTTTGTTTGTTTTGGTGTGTTTTTGTGCTGTTTTGGAACTCCCGATGGGGGATAATCTGTGACTTTTGGTTTTGTAGCGTTTGGTTGTTGAGTTTTGTTGGTTAATTGTGAGGTGGAAACCCCACAAAGTGATATCAAAGCACATCCAACCATGGTAGATTAAGAAAAATGGTAAAAAAACATTTAGAAGAGAGAAGGGAAGGTTTCAAAAGAGATTGTCGTGATGAAAGGTGATATGAACCAAGAGACATCAATCATACAATATATTTCAATGAAGATGTGAAGAAATGTTGTTGAAATTATCAAAAGATATTTCAATTCATGCCACATTGAAGAAGAATGAAGGTCCTTGTTATAAATTTTGGGTGGATTACAATTTAGAGTAATTTAGAGTCTCGAGCAATTAACGGCTGAAATCCATGGGAGTAGATAATTGGAGGAGGAGAGCTATGGATAGTGGTGGCTCTCATGTTGGAAGAGGAGAGCAGATGGTCTTTAAGATTCTTGAGGAAGGAGAATTGTCCCAACGAACGAAAGATGTAGGACAGAGTAGTGCAACAAATTTAGGTTGTGATGTCCTTGTTCGTTAGAGAGGAGCTTGACTTCAAACTATTTACGATTGAGTGGTTTTTAAGATTCAACCATTTATGGAAGCTGAAAAACTAATTATTGGCGTGGTAAGTTTTGATGACAAGGCATTGCTGTGGTATAGTGGGGTAGATAACTTAAAAATTTGCTAATCGTTTGGACAAGTGGAGAAGTTAACTCTTTCAGAAGGTGGTCGTTTGACTCTTGTTCAATTGGGGTGATTAATAGACTTCCAGTATACTACTTTTTGATTTTCAAAGCTCTTAAAGGGGTCACTGATGAGATGGATAAAATTGCTACAAACTCCTTTTGAACAGGATAGTTGCAAGCCTTGTGTCACAATCACACTTTTCTTGGCAGCAGACTTTTTGATTGTGTGCCACTCACTTCCAACACCGAATGAGTCAAGTCAATTCAAATTCATGTTGCCTACGGCTAGGTAACGTATGCTCAAGCCTTTGACCCCGTTTTGAGAAGAAGGTTATAGAAAACAGGGGCAGAGAGATTTATCGAAAGAGAGTTTAAAGGCAAGATTAAAAGAAGGTTTTGAAAACAATGTTATAGGCTATAAGCGAGAAAGGCAACACAACGACTTAGATATCATATAAATCTAGGTAGGAAGAATTCACGACTAGTCGCATCCCCCTATAGCACATTTTGAGGCGATTCAAGTCTGGCAGGCGTAAATATGATGATGGCATTTTGATTGTCGTCACTTGGATCGGGGTGGTAAGGCTTTAGGTTACTCACATGAATTACTGGGTGAATTTCATCCATGTGGGCAATGCTACTCTGTAAGATGTAGCCCCTATCTTTTTGAGAACTTTGACTGGTCCTTCGTATTTTCTAACAAGTCTCTAGCCCTTTTGATTGCGGAGTCTGATTTGTTCAAGCTTCAATTTGATAAGGACTTGATCTCCTACTTAAAATTGGAGGGGGCAATGCTTCCTGTCCACCCACTTCTTCATGTGTTTGGAAGCTTTCTCCAAATAAGCTCGGGTTCTATCTGTTGTTTTCTTCCATTCTCTTATGAAGTTTTGGGCTTAAGTGTTCTTTCTTGCATATGGATGATCAATAATATGGGGCAAGGCTGGTTGTTGTCCACTTATAATTTCAAAGGGGCTCTCTCTAGTAGACGAACTCGTTTGACAATTGAAACAGAATTGAGCCATATCTAGCAGTTATACCCAATTTTTTCTGACGAGCGTCGACAAAGTTACACAAGTATTCTTCGAGCAAGCAGTTGAAACACTATGTCTGTTCGTCGGTTTGGAGGTGGTAGCTCGAGGAGATATTTAAAGTTGTCCCCAGGACTATGAATAACTCGGTCTGAAATGTTTCGAGCAATCTACCATTTCTGTCATTAATGATGCTCGACGAAATACCCTACAACTTCACAATATGTTTGAAGAACAGTTGGGCTGTTTGTTAACTCATCTGAGCATATTTTGTGGGTGGAAACGAAACTGGCGTATTTCGAGAACCGATCTATGATAATTAAGGTGGATTCTTATTTGCCTACTTTTGGGAGGTATGCTATGAAGTCCAGTGGCACTTTCCCAATGTCTTGTTGGCAAGGGTAGGGGTTTAAGGAGTTTTGAGACCTTGGCCTTCTTGACTTTATCCTAGCACGTCTTTGTATAATGCATTATGTCATCATGCATGTTTGACCAAAAGTACCATTTCTTGACCAAGGCATAAGCTCATTGCCACCTTGGGTGTCCGACCCACAAAGTATCGTGACGTTCCTGGATGAGCTTCTTCCTTAGTTCTCCCGTTCTTAGGACATAATATATTTCCTTTGGCAGTAGAAGGTCTCCCTCGACCCAAAACTGTCTAGTCTTCTCGGCTTTGGCTAGATCAACAACAATTTTGGCTGAAGGGTCTTTATACAAGTGTTCCCTTATGATGTCGCACATCGACCTATCGATCTTACTTGAATGAATATGGGACTAGTATGCATAGGGCCGCATGTTCCCCTTCCGACTCAGCGTGTTGACCGCTTGATTACTCTTTCCTGTTATTGTTTGAACCTAAAGTCGAACTCAACTAATGATTCTTGCCACCGAGCTTGTTTTGCCGTCAACTTCAATTGGTCAAAGAAGTGACAAATGACACTGTTATTTGTCTTTACCATGAAGTGAGATCCCAAAAGATATTTTCTTTAGACTCTAAAGCAATCGACGACGACGTTTATTTCCTTTTCGGAGACAATGTATCTCCTTTCTGCATCATTGAGCTTCCAACTTTCCTAGCCGATAAGGTGGCCTTCCTGAATAAGGACTCCCCCAAGAGCAAAGTCGAATGCAGCTGTCTCTATTTCAAAAGGTTTAGAGACGTCTACAAAGCCGAGGACAGGGCCCCTCGTCATGGTTGCCTTCATATCTTCGAAGGCCTTTCGACTTTCATTTGACCACGACCAAGGTGGTCTTTCTTCAGGAGTTTTGTTAATGGGGCAGCTCGTCGTGAAAACCCTTCGACGAACTACCTATAGTAGTTTGCTAATCCTAGAGAGGATCGTACATCGGACACCGAAGTGGGGATTTTCCAATCCTTGATAGCTTTTATCTTATTGCTATCCATGTTGATTTGTCCACACCTGATAATGTGCCCGAGGAAGGTGCTGCATGTTTATGCGGAGGCACGTTTCTCTTTCTTGATATATAACTGATTTTGCCGTACTTTGTCAAACACTAGCTTCAGATGCATCTTGTTATCACCTTCTAGTTGCGTTAAATAACTTGTCCAGAATATCCTGTTATCTCCTGTCCACGCACTCTACTAGTTACGCTTCCACAAACTGTCTCCATGTATGTTTTTGTGACCAATTATCCGCATCTGCCTTTTCTACTGACCCAAACAAAAATTAATTGTGTAATGAGATTATCATATTTTTAGCAGAATGGACTTGCGTACATGTTGAATTACAACCATAACCTAATTTATTGCAAATGTAAGTTTAAAACAAGAGAATGAAGAACATACAACATTTGCTTCAATAAACCTATTGAAGTATTGATTCAATTAAATTTATCATAACCTATCAACTTAAGTTCTTGGGTTGATTGGTGATTTAACAATACCTTTTCTTTTATTAACCTGAAACAAAACTTTAATTGATTAACGGAAAAGAAAGAGCTGTTGATGTAGTATGTTTGTTGGGTGCTTTCTTTTATTTCTTGGGAGGTTTCTTGGTGCATTGTATTTTTTTCTTGGCTGTTCTTTGATAATTACTTTGGCTTGGTTAAATGTTGCTATGGCAAGGTGAAGTCTAAATTTTAGGATTTACCCTATTGGCTTGTTATTTTGGCTGATTTGTTGGTCTGGCTTTGTAAAGTGCTGCTGTCCAGCCAATAAATAATTGTTAACACAAGCTGTTTTGGCCAATCGCAAATTCAACTGAGAAGTTTCTTTGAGGTCTTACTTGAGCTGTTTTTTAATATTGTTTGAAATTGTAGATGCTTGAGATACGATACATTTGTTTGTTTCTTAGTGCACTTGCTCTTTCTATTTACAGGCTCAGTGTTCTGCATATGTTGAGTACTTGGGTCAGTTTACATCAGAACGATTCTCAGAGGACATTGCTGAGGTATGGAATGTGTTATTGAGCAGAAATTCTATTGTTCCCAAATTATAAAGAGATATTACTCAAATTATTTCTATCATTTGATTCATTAGGGGAATTGTTTTACTTGTATGCTAGCAAAAAGAAGATATTTGAGAGCCTTGAAACTTTTTTCTTATTTTTTTTTAGTACAAGGCTTTAGTAGTTGATATATGCGTACTCAGTTATTCAATGAACAGCTGATTCGGAGCCGTTTCCAATCAAAGGAAAAGCGCCTCTTCGATGATGTTTTAGGTATGAACTCTTCAATTCATGACACTTCAATCTTTAATGATGCTATCATCTCTTGATGAGTAATCTATCTCATATGTCTATTTCCAGCTGTGTTTGTCTTTCATCATCCCGAGCATGGGCATGCTATTATTCTTCCAATCATTTCTTGTATAATTGATGGCACCCTGGAATATAACAGAAATGACCCTCCATTTGTCTCTTTCATATCCTTATTCTGCCCGGGAACAGAGGTACAATTTCAGATTGAATGTATTTTGAACTTTAATTTTTTTGAGAAACTAAATTTCTTTTAATAAATGAGATGAATTCATGATGCAATCAGCTTGCTGGAAAAATTCTTTATTGTGGAAAAACTGCTTTTTTTTCTCTCTTTTTTTTTTTTTTTTTTCATTAAGCAAACAACAAAAACCTAGAAACTAAATAGAAGAAAGGATTAGGTGATGTCTGATGATTTGGATAAATTTTAATTTTTTTTTTTCAAAGAACACAATAATCAAGGTTGCCATAAAAAACTTTCCATCCCTCTATTTTTCCTCTCACCGGAATGTCCCCACAAAAACTTTCCTGTTTTCCTAAAGAGAGGATTAAGAAGGAATTCCTCTATCATTTCTTAGTAGCCATGTCCAGCCAGATCAAAACCAAAATCAAAGAAGCAAGTTCACATAGTATAATCAAAATCACAACTCTAAAGCATATGGTCAAGGTTTTTTGTTGCTCTCTTGCAAATAATACAGCACCATGACCCCATCAAATTAGCAATCTTCCCTCAACACCCTATCCTAAGTATTAACCTTTCCATGAAGAATTTGCCTAACAAAAAACTTCAGTTGCAATCAATTAATGTTTCAAGGTCAAGCTTTCCATTAAACGCGGTTAAGTCTATTTCATCTTGTAATCATTTTTTCCACTGGTATTTTGTTAAGTGTGTGGGCCGCTTCAATTTTTGTTTGATCTTGATAAGTTGGGTTTAGATATTTCTCGTCTTTTTTGATGATGTTAGAATTTTGAAATGCCGTGCCATGAAGTTCATAAGCTGGTGGATATCATGTGTATTCCATTTCATTTCTTCCATGGAGTCATCGCACAGTTGGTCAATGTTTGTGGGATGGGACGGGGGTTGCTCCACCGACGGATAAGGTGGGATTTGTCTTTCCCACCATTAGGTCCTTTCTTAGAAAATAGTCTGATACCAAAACTGATGCAATCACCTTGCTGGAAAATTTCTTTATCAAGAAAAAACTGCTTTTTGTAACAAATAAGGCTCCGATATAGAGGGTAGCCACACTGACCAAATAACAAACTAAGCAACCAGCCAAAAAATAATAAAATAAAAACCAAGAAAACAATCGATCATAGCTAACCAAATTAACAGCTTAAAGAAGTTTATTTATTATTATTTTTTTAAAAAGACAACCTGTAAACTACACCACTACAACGGTTTCACTAATTCACTGTATATCTTGTGTTTTATTTTGGGGTAGCTTTATTTTCTGATATATATTCTATAGTTATGAATAATGTGAAGATGCATTACAAATACTTTTTACCCCATCAGAACCATTATTCTGAACAATGGGCCCTTGCATGTGGGGAGATACTCCGGATCTTGACTCATTACAATCGTCCAATATACAAGATGGAACAAAAGAATGGTGAAACAGAAAGAAGCAATAGTGGCTACGTTGCTACGAATAGTGACACCAATGATGGGGAATTTGTTCAAGTGCCTCTACAACACGAGAGGAAACCTATAAGACCTTTGTCCCCATGGATTACTGATATATTGCTAGCTGCACCATTGGGCATCAGAAGCGACTATTTCCGCTGGTAAGGCATTGTTATGTTGAGCGTTAGGTGCTGCTTGGAATGATATATATGTATATTTCTTTTTGAAACAGAAACAGTTCATTGTTGCATGAAAAAGACATACTGAAATTAAAAAGTTCCGAAGCTACTTCCATAGGAGAATAACAGAGAAAGCCCTCAATCCTTCCAAATTATCCAACTTTTTGCAATTACATCCCAACCCATACAAGAAAGTCTTCCAATTTGAATGAATTACATTCGAAAAATAATTTAAAAATTGTTAAATCACCCATCAACCCAAAAGTAGCCGATGGGTTATGGTATACTTTAACCATCTCCCCACTTGTGAACTTGAAAAATTGTAGAAAACTCAACAAATGGAAATCAATATTAATGAGAGGAAATGACACTACAAGAGGTTTGTACATCAGACCTCGTACTTTGATACCATGTTAAATAACCACTCAATCCAAAAACTTTAGTTGATGGGTTATGATAAATTTAATTATATCAATACTTTTTAACAAAAAATGCTCGGACAGAAGACATCAAAAGGATACAGCAGCCTTTGCTAAATTTTTATTGTCAAAGTAATGGCATTAGAGAGAGAATATACGTGTTGAAGATCCAATTTGTCTTGTAAGTTGCATATCCTTCCGATAGCCATCAACAAATCTTGGAATTTTGTTGTTCTCATTTTCTGCTAGATTGATATGAGTACTTAAACAATGGAATTTCTCCACGTAATTTGTTAAATCACCGGTGAACCCGAAAGTATAAGGAGATAGTTTATGGTAAATTGAATAGTGAAAATCATTGGACTTTCTGCATTGATACTAGGTTGATTGGTGATTTAACATGACTAGCAACATAACCATTTACTTGGCAACATTGCTTGGCATCATTATTGGTTTGTGTAATAGTTGTTCGGAGTTAGTAGATTTTTGCTGACCATTCATTAATCGAAGTATTCTTGGTATTTTCTATTTGTCTCTTTCCTGCTTTTCTTCAATTAACTTGAAGCTAATTGCACCAAAATGAAGCCCCCCTCTAAACTCTAGTGCAACTAGTTTAACTTTCTTGCGGCTCAACTTTAGTGCTACTGGTTTAGCTTTCTTGTTCCCATGTGTATTCATGTGATCAAAAGTATTTTTGACATTCTTGATCCAATAAAAAATGCCTCTAAATCCATTTTTCCATGAAATGAGGGAAGGTCAATGTTCATCTTAAACTCAGTGGCTTCTCCCTTGTTCCTGGATTGGATGTTTTCCATTTATTTTTTCTCCCTACAATAGGTGGACAAAACTCTTCCTTTCCGTTCTTGAACTGCGTATGCTACTTTCAGCAGGTTACCCAAATGTATGTGATTCTATACAAGATAACTAGGGGATTGTGGGACTGTGATAAACAGATTTTTAAGCTAAGTATGCAAGCAATTTAGGTTACATTTCATTGAGTAAAAAAGAGAATTTTGTACTAGGAGGATCTCAGATCCCTAGAATCAACAATCATAGTAGTTAGCCTAACTCTAAAAAAATTAAAGTGAAATTCTTGCTACACAAGGGGAAAATGAAAACTTTAATTTATAGCGTGATTTTCTACCCTCCCCTCAAGTTGGATGGTATATGATTTTCATTTCTTGTTGCAAATCAAACCACGAAGGTTTGTTCGATGCAATGCCTTTGTCAATATGTTTGTAGCTTCCTGTTGGGCAGGAACATCCTTAATTTGGTTATCTGTATTTTTTTTTTTCCGAGAGCTTTAGCAGACTGATTATCACTCATTTAACTCTATGCCACAAAAAGAAAAGAGGGTGGTTATGAAAGCTTGACATTGCAAAGGCCTTTGATTGTGTTGATTGGATTTTTTTGGATGAGGTGCTTCAATCCAAAACATTTGACAGTAAATGGATTAAGTGGCTTGAGGGTTGTGTTTGAAACCCCAAATTCTCAGTATTCATAAATGTTCGGCCTCGTGGAAGAATTTAGTCACCCGTGCATTAAGACAAGGAGACCCATTTCTGCTGGTTAGTGTTTAGTGTTTCAAGAGTAAATTATCTTGCTTGTTTTTATATTAATTTTTAGAGAGATAGATGTGCATTTTATAATAAATCTAACTAAATTCTAAGATACTAGGCAACAATACAAATAATACAAATAAATTAGGGAGGTTGACTACTAACCTTATTTAATGAGATTACACAAATATCTCCTCATTTATGACTAGGAAAACACAAATATTCCTTAAATCAAGATTAATTTTTCAACCTTCCTTCTCAAGATGAGGAATAGATATCAACTTGGATACTAACTCAGGAAACATTGAATTGTGAAGCCATTTTGTTAGTATATCTGCTAATTAAGGTTGTGAAGGCACAAAGCCTAATGCATACTATTTCCTTCTCTAATTTCTCCTTGATAAAATTTTGATCAATTTCAATGTGATTTGTCCTATCATGTTGGATAGGATTATGTGCAATATTGATTGATGATTTGTTATCGCAATACAACTTTATTGAATCTTCTGCCTTAATTTGTAAGTCATCAAGGATTATCTTCAACCATAATAGTTCACGTAACCCTCATGCAATAGCTTAGAATTCTGATTCGTAGATGATCTAGCCACCACATTTTTCTTTTTGCTTCTCCATGTTACCAAATTACCTCCAAGAAAAGTACAATACCCCTTAGTAAATCTTCTGTCTAATATTGAACCAGCATAATTTGCTTTAGTGTAAGCTTCCAATGCAAGGGAATTGTTCTGTTCAAACAAAATTCTTTTTTTTGAAGTCCCTTTCAGGTAACGTAATACTCTATATGCTACCTGAAGGTGAGGCTCCTGCTGATCATGCACGAATTGGCTAACTGCACCCACTGAGTACGCTATATCTTGTCAAATGTGAGCTAGATTCTCCCTACCAGCCTTTGGTACATTTATCTATTCATTGTAGGTTCTTTTGACTCTCCCAATTCCTGATGTGGATCTATTGGCGCTGTTGTAGGCTTTCATTTACTTTTTCTTGTTTCCATCCATAAATCCATCACATATTTCTATTGTGATATGAAAGGACCCCTGAGTTGAGTACGCTTCTTAAATATCGAGGAAGTACTATAGCCTTCCAAGTTCTTTGATCTCAAATTTCTTCATCAATTCTCTTCTTCATTATCTCCGGTGACTATGATGCCATCTACATACACTAGAAGCTCTATAACTCTCCTTGAGTCTGAATGCTTAATAAAGAGAGTGTGATCTCCTTGACTTTGCTTATATCCACAGTTTTTTAGTATCTTTGTGAATCTTCCAAACCATACCTGTGATGATTGTATTAGTCCTACACGACCTTTCTCAATTTGCATACTTTACCTCTTGAGCTTTCAAATCCTAGAGGAATGCTCATCTGGATTGCTGTGAAGAAATGCCTTCTTTGCATCATACCGTGAAAGCTGTCAATTTAAATTGGTAGCCAAGGATAACTATAGTATGGTGTTCATCTTCGCAAGAGAGGAAAATGTCTCTTGGTAATCTATCCCATAAATTTGAGTGTATCCGCCATTAGCCTTGCGCTATGCCTCTCCAATGTTCCATCAACCTTGTATCTTACAATGAAAAACACCTACACCCAACTATATCTTTATTTTTGGCCTATCCACAACTTCCCACATATTATTTGCTAAAGCATGCATTTCTTCTCTCATAACATCCTGACATTCTCTCTTGCATAAAGTTTCAGAACTGTGTTATGTAACAATTGAATGTAGACTCACAATGAAACTCTGTGGTGGGGATAGTCATTCAAGAGAGATATAGTTTGATAGGGGAGGGTCGTTTTGTGCATTGCCTAGTGGATTTCCGGAGAGCTATGGGTCTATCATCTATTGATGTTTGTGTTACATCCTCAATTTGAGTAGAGTCTGATGTTTGGACTTATAATAGCTTTGAGATAACTTTCCTTCTAGCCTATACCTGAGAGAACAACGAATCCGACAATGGAGGTGGAACGTGTTAAGAATCACCGATCTCCACAATGGTATGATATTGTCTACTTTGAGCATAAGCTCTCATGGGTTTGCTTTGGGCTTCCCCAAAAGGTCTCATACCAATCGAGATAGTATTCATTGATTATAAACCCATGATCATTCTCTAAATTAGCCGATGTGGGACTTCCAACCGAATGTATGGTTCAATTGGTAACTCTAGGTAGTAGGGGTGAACTCATTTTAGAATAGGTAGCAAGCATGGACTCAATAATTGGTTTTGTATGCTAGTTATTTAGTATGTGTTGTAAGTCTAAATTAACTTCCTGCTTTCTTATTAATTTTCAAAGAGTTACATGTCTCTTTACAAGGGAGAAAGATTAACTAAATCTTAGATACTAGTGACATTAAATCTAAATAAATCCCTACACACTAGGAAATAAATCTAAATAAATTCCTAGTTACTAGGTAACTAAATCTAAATAATAACTATGGATACTAGGCAACTAAATTTAAATAATAACCCTAGATACTAGATAACAATACATTTAAATTAAGATAAATTAAGGAGGTTAACCACTTCCCTTATTTAATGGGATTATAGAAATATTTTTCGACACTCCCCCTCAAGCTGAGTAATAGATATCATTTACTCTCGACTTGGATACTAGGTAAATAAATCTAAATAATCACCGTAGATACTAGATAATGGTCAATCTAAATGAATCCAACAAGATAAATTGAGGAGGTTAACTACTTTCCGTATTTAATGGGATTATACAAATATTCTTTGACACTCCCCCTCAAGCTGAGTAGTAGATATCATTCATTCTCAACTTGGATACTAACTCATGAATTACACAAATATCTTTGAACTTGAGGCTAATCCTTCGACAAGATGTCTAGAAGTTCAATAGTTTCCCAAGGACCCTCTTCAATCTCTATGTTCTCCCTCTGAAGAGAGACCTTAGAGAAGAATGGTTTATTCTCTGTAAATGTCACATCAATTGAAGTGTAGACTTCCTAGATGTAGGGTTGTAATGTTTGTACCCCTTGTGGTTGAAGAGTATCCTAAAAAGACACATTTTATTGCTCTCGGATCAAATTTACCTCTCTAAATGTTGTGAACATGAATAAAGGCAATGCACCCAAATATGCGGGGTGTGAGATCATTTGATTTTTGAAAGCGAGGATGAAATTGGTTGAGAACTTCTATTGGGCTTAGATTATTTAGGACATGAGATAGAGATGATTAATCATGTGAGTTGCAAAAAGAAATGTCTCTCTCAACAAGTTTTTAGCATGTTTCTATGAAAAGCAATACTCGAGTAGTGTTTAAAAGGTGTCCATTTTCCCTTTCGGTCATTCCATTTTTCTGTGGTGTAATCACAGACAAAGAATTATGGATAGTGACTTGAGACCAAAAATAAATATGAAAGTGAGGTTTGATTAAAATATTCTCTAACATTGTTAGTTCAAAATGTTTTGATTGACTCTAAATTGTGTCTAAATCCTTGAGTGGAAGACATTAATAATATTACTAACATCTTATTTTTGTTTGGGAAGGAATAGTCACGTAATCCGAGTACAATTATCAATTAATGTGAGAAAGCACGAGCACAAGAAATACTGAGAGTAGATGAGGGTTCTCATATATCACTATGAATCAAATGAAAAGGGGTAGAGATTTTATTTTGACTAATGAGAGAAGATATATGAGTATGTTAGGTTGATGGATGAATGGATTGATTGTTGGATTGCTGTTGCACTTGTAGTGAATGAAGCTGGGAATGCTAATGCTAATGTTGTAGCCTTCCTGCTGTGAATACTCTTTTCATGTGATCATCGATTATTGTACCACACTAATAGAATTCTGGAACATTATTTCAAAGGTGGACGGTAGCTATGAAGGCTCCGAATGAAATTTGTACAAGGTGGAAGATCAATAACTATGAAGGATTCGAATAAATTTGGTCTAGGTGAAAGATCGATAGTTATGAAGGCTCTAAATAAATTTAGTCCAGGTAGAACATTGATAACTATGAAGACTACGCTAATTAATCAAACCTCCTAGAAGAGAATGGTTGTGATACCATGTTGCAAGTGTATATTATCTTGCTTGGTTTTCAAATTAATGTATTTCATACTACAGAAAGGTTAACTAAATCCATATACAAGGTAACAATAAATCTAACTGAATTCCTAGATACTAAATAATAATAAATCTAAGCCCCTAGATACTGAGTTAACAATAAAGATAAATGAGAGAGCTCAACTACTTCTCTCATTTAATGAGATTATACAAATATCTCCTAGCTTAAAGTTAGGAATTACACAAATGTTCCTTAAATCAAGGGTCATTTGTTAAGGATCATGGTGTCCTAAATGTTTCAACTAAGGCCAAAAAGATTCAACAAGTATTCATTCTTCATCTACAAAATTGGATAGACTCGGTTCAATCATTATTTCATGTGTTATAAGCTGATTCGATTGAGGAAGGACCATTTGGAGCTTCGGAAGTGAATATTTGCATAGCTAAAGTAGCAGATGAAGTTGCTATAAATTGCACTTGATTGATAAGTTGTTAGAAAACTTTATTTATTATTTTTAATTTCATAATTTCTTGGAGTGGGAAAAGGAATTTCATAATTTCTTGTAGTGGGAAAATGGTGGGAAGTTACTTGTCAAAGTGACTTCTCTTTTTGTGGATATTTAAAGGGAGTGGGAGTAAATTATGGTCACTAACTTATTTAGCGGGCATTTGAAGAGTTGAAAGTTTCTTGTGTGGAGAGAAGATAAATACCCACAAATTACTTTGTAAAAGACAGAGTCATTCAATCAAGCCTTGATCAAGTTCGATTGTGGAGTGACTCAATTTGGAACCTAGGTTTCAAATCTTGATTCTAGATCTTTGATCTTAAGGAGTAATCTAATTCTAGCCTTATCTCTTGGTTGATCAGGTTCCAAATCTTGATTCTAGATCTTTGATCTTAAGGAGTAATTTAATTTTAGCCTTATCTCTTGGTTGATCCGAATCTTTGATCAAGTTTGTTTTTCATTCCTTGTATTAAAGAACTCTTTAATCAAAGAAATTAACACCTCCTTAACATGATTCAAGCAAGGATGTTTGGTCTCAAAGAAATTAACATGATCAAAGCTTTTGTTGAAGCAAAAACCCTTGAATCAAAGAAATTAACACCTCTTGTACAAAATTCGGATCAACTAAGAGACAAGGCTAGAATTAGATTATTTCTTAAGATCAAAGATCTAGAATCAAGATTTGGAACCTTGTTCTAAATTGAGCCACTCCACAATCGAACTTGATCAAGGTTTGATTTAATGGCTTAGATGCAATCTACTACAAAAATTGCATGAAACTTAGAAATGACAAAAATGGTACTCAAATTTCTAAGGGTGAAAGTCTCCATTTGAGAGCTAAATTTCATTCATCCAAAATTCTGTCTTTTACAAAGTAATTGGTGGGTATTTATAGTCTCTCCACAAAAGAAACTTTCAACTATTCAAATGCTCAGTGGTCATAATTTACTTCTACTTCCTTTAAATTTCCACAAAAAGTCAAGTAACTTCCCACCCTTTTCCCACTACAAGAAATTATGAAATTAAAAATAATAAATAAAATTTTCTAACAACTTATGAATCAAGTGCAATTCATAGCAACTTCATCCACTACTTCAACTAAGAAAATATTCACTTCTGAAGCCCTAAATGGTCCTTCCTCAATCGAAGGAGCTTGTGATACATGAAATAATGGTTAAATCGAGTCTATCCAATTTTGTAGATGAAAAATGAAGGCTTGTTGAATCTTCTTGGCCTTGGATCGTGTAATAGGTCCAGTTGGAACATTTGGAACACCAGGATCCTTATCATCATTTCTTCAATCGTGAGTGAAGAGGTTTTCAAACCATTAATTGACAATGTTTACTCCAATGGGAGTCATGATGAGTTTCAAGTTGGCCGAGATGATATTAATGTTTTAGTTCTCCAATTTGCAAACGACACTTTTATTTTGCAAGGATGACGATGGGGTGTTACAACAATTTAATTCAACTTGTTGAATTTTTTGAATGGTGTTCGGGTTTGGACATAAAATGGGGAAATTGGCTTTATGTGGAATCATTAAGACTCAAAGGTATGCCAATTTGCCTCAAGGTTGAATTATGAAATTGAAGTTCTGCCAATTATTTATTTGGGATTTTTTGAATGGTGTTCGGGTTTGGACATAAAATGGGGAAATTGGCTTTATGTGGAATCATTAAGACTCAAAGGTATGCCAATTTGCCTCAAGGTTGAATTATGAAATTGAAGTTCTGCCAATTATTTATTTGGGATTTTTTGAATGGTGTTCGGGTTTGGACATAAAATGGGGAAATTGGCTTTATGTGGAATCATTAAGACTCAAAGGTATGCCAATTTGCCTCAAGGTTGAATTATGAAATTGAAGTTCTGCCAATTATTTATTTGGGTCTTCCCCTTGGTGGAATCCCAAAAAAGATTCCTTTTGGCAATCGGTTAGTGACAAAGTTCAGAAGATTGATAGGTGGAAACGAAACTTATTATCTAGAGGTGGGGGCTTAACTCTTTGCTCTTCAATATTATCAAGCATTCCATTATATTATTTGTCATTATTTCTAATGCCTTCATCGATCAGTGTGAAAATAAAGCACCTGATTAGATGGAGACTTGTTACAATGGGTCAGTTGAATGGTGGACATGGAATTGGAGCTTTGAAAAACAGAAACACGGCTTTTTTAGCAAAATGGGGTTGGCGGTTTATGAATGAACCCCAATCTTTTTGGGAAAAGATCATTATTAGTATTTATACTTCTTCTACTTTTGGTTGGAATTTGTGAATCCGAAAAGATCCTAGTCGTAGAAGCTCATGGATGAATATTCTGTGGCAGCAGTTCAATTCCTTCATGGTAGAAGGATACTTTCTGGGTAAGATGTATGTCTGGACAATTCCCCATTAAAATGTTTTCCTCGACGGTTTGCTATTTCTTCACCAAAAGGATCGGTTTCAGACCATTGGGATGCTCAAATAGGTGCGTGAGATGTTTCTTTTTGAAGGTCTCTTAGGGATGAGGAAGTTGATGAGTTTCAGACACTTTATTTACTATTTCTGCTGCGAACATTGGCTCAAATGAAGATTCTTGTATATGGTCTCTTGATTCTTATGGTATTTTTTCAGTGAAATCATTATCTCAGCCTTTCGGATCCTTCATCGCCAATGCAGAAAGAACTTTTTCATATGGAAGTCTTAGAATTCAGAGAGAATAAACATTCGTTTATGAATTATGATTAATGGAAGCCTTAATACATCAAAAGTTTTGCTGAAGAAATCTCCATCCAAGTGATGCAGTCGATTTTCTCTCTTATGTTTTTTCCCAATTTGTGTAAGTGTACACTTCCCGACTCGGTTTGTAGTTTTTTGAACTGGAGGTTCTTTCTCTGGTAATGCTTGAGAGATATCTTAATATTTTTTTGCTGCTTCTAGAAAATTTGTTCACAAATTGACTTACCACACTAATAGCAAAGCTAATGTCTAGACAAGTATGAGTTAAATGCGTTTCCAGCTAGCTAATATCTCCCCCAATCAACTACTTATCCGTGAAGATTTGCCCGGAAGTTCTGTAAATATTAGCTCCAAGTTTTGTATTTACATCGATAGGTGCTCAAATGGCTTAGAACCATTCATTCTAGTTTCTCAATTCTCTTAAGCGATTTAAACTGTATTTTCCTTAGTTGGGAGATAATAAACATGACTCTATTGGTGTGTTTCAGCTCTAAGTGAGGAGAAATTATTTGAGGAAGATAGTATAATGTGATTGGTGGTTCTATATTGTTGGATGTAGGAGAGAACATAAAAAGTATGGTTTAACCATACATTCAAGGATTTAGAAGATGACAACCACAATATGACGATCACATCGAACAATTTAGTTCAATGTTCCTAGGGTTGTCTTTTTTGCAAGAAAGACAAAAACTCCATGCTTTATGGCTTTCTTGGTGTAACTTGTCTCTCTTTCAAGAAATTTTGGTATTGATTCTCTTATGAAGTTGGAAGAGCTTTTTGAAATCCCCTTTCGGTTAGGGGCTTGACTTTTCCGTTTGTAATTTATGTTATCTATGAAATTGTTTCTCATTGAAAAACATTTTTGCACATAAACAGGTGCAGTGGTGTTATGGGTAAATATGCTGCTGGAGAGCTCAGGCCACCCACATCAGGTTTGTGAACATCTTACTTAAATTTCGAACTATGAAGTGGCATTTCACTTTATGCAACGGATTTGCAACTTATCTATGTTTTGAAAATAAATCGTAAAAGGTATACATAGTAAGTAGTAGGTAGGGAAGGAAGCACCATAAGCTACACGCTTATGAAATGTGTCTTAATTTAGAGGGAATAAAATATTTGTGCTCTGATCCTGATCCTAATGTAAGTAGTACATGTCTACATGGTTCTACGTAGTTCCGTTGTATTGGAGAAAGAGAGAAAGAGCTACAACAAAAGGGGAAGAAGAATAAATACAATGTGAATAATAAATTATTATGGTTTAAAAAGATATCTGCAGCTAATATTTACAAAAAAATAAAACAACTCTTCAACATGGTTTAAAAATATCTTCGTTTGCTAGCTTGTCAAAAGTATGTTCGTTAGATCACCCATCAACCCAAAAGCTTAAGATGTTAGCATAAGTTTAATTCTATCAATATTTTAACACTTTCCCTCACTTGTGAGCTTGAAAATTTGTCGAAGGTCCAACAAAGGAAAATCAATATTGATTAGGGAGGAAATGAGTTGTGAAGTTTTTTTTTGTTAGTATATCTACTAGTTGAAGCTGTGAGGGCACAAACTAATGCATACTATCCCTTTCTCCAATTTTTCCTTGATAAAATGTCGATCAATTTTAATATGCCTTGTCCTATCATGTTGTATAAGATCATATACAATATTATAGTTGATTTGTTGTTGTAATACAATTTTATCGGACCTTCTCTCTTAATCTGTAAGTCATAAGGATTATCTTCAACCATAAGAGTTCACATAACACTTAAGTAATAGCTCGAAATTCTGATTTGGAAGATGATCTAGCCACCATATTTTCCTTTCTACTCCTCCCTGTTAACAAATTACCTCTATGAAAAGTACTATACCCCATTGTAGATCTTCTATCCACTATTGGTCTAGTGTGGTCAGCATCGGTGTAAGCTTCCGATGTAATAAAATTGTTCCGTTTGAATAAAATTCCTTTTATGAAGTTTCTTTCCGATAATGCAGCATGCTGTATGTTGCTTGAAGGTGGGTCTCCTGCGGATCATGCATGAATTAGCTAATTACACTCACTGAGTATGTTATGTCTAGTCTAGTGTGAGCTAGATACATGAGTGTCCCCAGTAGCTTCTAGTACATTTTTCTGTTCACGGCAGGTTCTTCTTTTGTCTTTCCCATGTTCTGATGTAGATCCCTTGGTGTTGGTGCAAGTTTACATCTGTTTTTCCTTGTTTCCATCAATAAATCCAAATGCACTACGCTACTTCAATGCTGAAAAAGTACTTTAGCCTTTCAAGTTACTTTTCTGATTTCTTTCTTGGTTAATTGTACAAGCCTTTTAACTGTGTTGATATTGTTTACTAGAAGATGTGTTTCATTTTCATCCTTAAAGCAAGGATATTACCGAGCAGGCTTTCTTGTTTATAGCTTCTTCTCGTGGATCTGGAAAACACCCTCAGCTAATACCATCAACTCCAAGATGGGCCGTCGCAAATGGTGCTGGAGTCATATTGAGTGTTTGTGATGAAGAAGTTGCTCGGTATGAGACTGCAACTCTAACAGCAGCTGCTGTTCCTGCGCTTCTTCTTCCTCCCCCTACAACAGCTTTAGATGAACATTTAGTTGCTGGGCTACCAGCTCTTGAGCCATATGCACGCTTATTTCATAGGTTAGCTTGTCTAAACCTTCAAAGAGAAACAAATTTCAAATCCTTTATGCTGGTTCTTCTTATTCAAATTTTTATCCCCAGCACAGATATTATGCCATTGCTACTCCCAGTGCTACCCAAAGGCTTCTTCTTGGACTCTTAGAAGCACCTCCATCTTGGGCTCCAGATGCACTTGATGCAGCTGTACAGCTTGTAGAGCTTCTTCGAGCTGCTGAAGAGTATGCAACTGGCATTAGGGTAAGTTGGATACTATACTATGCGGCAAGGCATGTTGGTTACGCCATTCATGAATTTTATTTAAATTTATGGTACTGTGCAATCTTTTCTTCATAGTTTGACAATATTTTTCTAATATTAGTTCATATCAGTAGAATGATCAGAAGAATGCTCCTTTGGTGCCTAACTAACAATTAAATAGCTATAATATATGATGTAATTGCATTGACTCATTAGCAAACAGTTATTTCTCATAGTCAATCTATACCTCACTGATATGATACAACCCCATGCTTTCGTTGTCAGTTATTGCTTACATTCAATCTATACCTCACTATTGCACCTTTCCTGATGCATGGGTTTGACGCATCTGCATTGTTCGTGGTTGTCATGTGTTTGAAATATTTTTGCTCAAATGTTTGTGGTTGTCATGTCCTTTCAAATCTAGTTTGGTTTTGTTTGGTTTTGTTTGGTTTGGTTAAAGATGGGCTGATTTGGTTTGAGGTTTGGTTTGGTTTAGTTCATTTGAAAGCTTCACCATTTGGTATGGATCAAATTCATCAACTCTTGAAGTTGCTATCAACCAATTTACTTTCTAATAATTTATATATATCTGTGGCACAAACCGGTATTTATCCTTAATGCAGCTTCCTAGAAACTGGATGCATTTACATTTCTTGCGTGCCATTGGCACTGCAATGTCCATGAGAGCTGGTATTGCTGCTGATGCTGCAGCAGCCTTGCTTTTTCGCATACTGTCCCAACCCGCATTGCTTTTTCCGCCACTACGACAAGTTGAGGGAAGTGAAGTTCAATATGAATCTTTGGGTGGCTATGATTCATCATACAGGGAACAGGTATGGACTTTATAGCACATACTCTCTGTATAAGCTATGCTTCTAGCTTCTTGAAAGAATTAATGGATTAGGGTCTTCGAATGTCATCTTGTTTTCAACTCTAACAACTCCAAATATCATCTGTATACTTTATCAGATCGAAGTGCCTGCAGCAGAAGCTACAACTGAAGCTACTGCTCAAGGAATTGCGTCGATGCTTTGTGCACATGGCCCTGAAGTTGAATGGAGAATTTGTACCATCTGGGAAGCTGCTTATGGCTTGATTCCGTTAAGTTCCGATGTAGTTGACCTCCCTGAAATCGTAGTTGCAACACCATTGCAACCTCCCATATTATCATGGAATTTATACATTCCTCTCCTTAAGGTTCTTGAATATCTTCCACGAGGTAGCCCATCCGAAGCATGTCTGATGAAGATATTTGTTGCTACTGTCGAATCAGTTCTTCAAAGAACATTTCCGTCTGAGTCTCCCAAAGAACAAACTAGAAAAACAAGATACTTTTCCAGCTTTGGTTCTGCTTCTAAAAATCTAGCTGTCACAGAGCTTCGAACCATGGTCCACTCGCTCTTCTTAGAATCATGTGCTTCTGTGGAGCTCGCTTCACGCCTACTCTTTGTCGTATTGACTGTTTGTGTTAGTCATGAAGCTCAATCCAATGGAAGCAAGAAATTCAGACGTGAACAAAGTATTGATGAAAGGATTGAGGACTTGCAAGCGGTACCCGAGAACCATACAGGAATAAGAAGGAGAAAGACTAAAAAGCAAGGTCCTGTTTCTGCATTCGATTCTTACGTCCTGGCTGCCGTTTGTGCTCTTGCTTGTGAGCTCCAGTTATTTCCCTTTGCTGCTAGGGGAAGTGATCATTTAAACACTACAAATTTACAGGATGTAACAAAACTGGTCAAAGTAAATGGCACTTCAACCGAACTTCAGAATAGCGTTAGCTCAGCAGTATGCCACACACACCGAATTTTGGCCATCTTAGAAGCACTTTTTTCTTTAAAGCCATCTTCTGTGGGAACTTCATGGAGTTATAGTTCAAACGAGATAGTTGCTGCAGCCATGGTTGCAGCTCATGTTTCAGAACTCTTTAGACGATCAAAGGCTTGCATGCACGCTCTCTCTATCCTGATGCGATGCAAGTGGGACGACGAGATTTACACCAGGGCATCATCATTGTACAATCTGATAGATATACACAGCAAAGCAGTTGCTTCCATTGTTAACAAAGCTGAACCTTTAGAAGCAAATTTAATACAAGTACCGAAATGGAAGAAATCTCTCGTTGGTTTAAACGGAAAAAAACAAATTCAATGTGAAGACAGTACCTGCTTTCATCCTGGACAATCTGTTCAAAAGTGTGACAATTCGACCCATTCAGAAACTAAGCTTGTGTTCGAGAGAACATCAAATTCAAATGAAGAGTTGGGAAATACTTTAGGGAAAGGTTTAGCAAGCTTCTCGATTGATGCTTCTGATTTAGCCAACTTACTCACAATGGAGAGGCAGATAGGATTCAACTGTTGTGCACAAGTTCTCTTAAGATCAGTGCTTGCTGAGAAACAAGAATTATGTTTCTCTGTTATTTCTCTACTGTGGCACAAGTTGATTACAGCTCCTGAAACTCAACCGAGCGTGGAGAGCACTTCAGCCCAGCAAGGATGGAGACAGGTAAGTTCGTACAACGCTCTTCTCCTTTGGTTTTATCTTCTATATCCGAAGAATACAACTCCCATGTTAGGAACCACAACTCTCCACAGTGGTACGATATTGTCCACTTTGAGCAATAGTTCTCATGGCTTTGTTTGGGCTTTCCCAAAAGGCCTCGTACCAATGGAGATGCATTCCTTACTTATAAACCCTTGATCATTTCCTAAATTAGTCAATGTGGGACTCCCTCCCAACAATCCTCCCCTTGAACAAAGTACACAATAGAGCCTCCCCTGAGGCCTACGATGGAGCCCTCGAACAGCCTCCCCTGAGGCCTACGGTGGAGCTCTCGAACAGCCTCCCCTTAATCGAGGCTCAACTCCTTCACTGAAGTACAAAGACCTGAAGGCTCAACTAGGAATGCCAAATGGGGCTTAGCTGTTGAATGTTAAATATTTATTGGAGCAATACATTACTTTAATATTTATTGAATTGCACTGTTCTATTAAATAGGTAGTTGATGCATTATGCAACGTGGTATCAGCTTCCCCAGCTAAAGCAGCTACAGCAATTGTCCTTCAGGTCTACATTTCTTTACCAGTTTTTTTGTTCCAGACCTCATTTGCTATCTTCTAGTGTTATTGTTCATGATCGTATACTTCATGTGTTTAGTCATTTTCATGGCCTTCTGTGCTTGTCAGGCGGAGAGGCAGTTGCAACCTTGGATTGCAAAAGATGATGATCAAGGTCAGAAGATGTGGAGAATCAACCAGCGGATCATCAAACTCATAGTTGAGCTGATGAGAAATCACGATACTCCAGAATCGCTGGTCGTATTGGCGAGTGCATTAGATCTACTGTTGCGTGCCACAGATGGCATGCTTGTAGATGGTGAAGCCTGTACTTTGCCACAACTAGAGGTAACAATGCAGTTAAGTTTTTATAAATGTTGTTTGTTTTGAAGCTTACTAATTATAAGCCAATGTTCTCTACTTCTTACGGAAGCACAGCTATTGGAAGCGACTGCTAGAGCAGTTAAGCCTGTACTGGAGTGGGGAGAATCTGGACTGTCAATTGCTGATGGCCTTTCCAATCTGTTAAAGGTAATATACATCGTCCAAAGTAATCGAGTTATGCAATTTGTTTATGTACACTCTTATAAAGATGGGTGTTTCGTTCTCCTCCCCAATCGATGTGGGGTTTCACAATCCACCCCCCTTCAAGACCAAGCATCCTTGCTGGCGCTCGTTCCTTTCTCTAATCGATGTGGGACCCTCTACCAAATTCACCCCTTCGGGGCCCCGCATCCTTGTTAGCACATTGCCTCATGTCCTCCCCCCTTCAGGGCTCAGCCTCCTTGATGACATATCGATCAGTGTTTGGCTTTGATATCATTTGTAATAGCCCAAGCCCACCGCTAGTAGATATTGTCCTCTTTGAGCTTTCCCTTTCGGGTTTTCCCTCAAAGTTTTTAAAACGCGTTTGTTAGGGAGAGGCTTCCACACTCTTATAAAGGATGTTTCGTTCTCCTCCCCGATCGATGTGGGATCTCGCGATCCATCCCCTTCAGGGCCCAGCGTCTTTCCTGGCACTCGTCCCTTACCAAATCCACCTTCCTTTGGGGCCCAATGTCCTTGCTGGCATACCGCCTCATGTCCACCCCCTTCGAGGCTCAGCTTCCTCGTTGGCACATTGCTCGGTGTCTGGCCTAATACCATTTATAACAGCTCAAACCCACCGCTAACAGATATTGTCCTCTTTTGACTTTTCCTTTTGGGCTTTCCCTCAAAGTTTTTAAAACGCATCGGTTAGGGAGAGGTTTCCACACCCTTATAAAAGGTATTTCGTTCTCCTCTCCCACCGACGTGAGATCTCACATGAGTTTTTTAATAATGATCCCACATGAGTTTTTTTTAGTAATGATCCCACATGAGTTCTTTAGTAATCAAAATTATTAAGGCTGGGAAAAGCTACTCTCTGTGAGATTAGACAAGCGACTCCGGCCTCTGCTGAATATTAAAAAAAATTGTGATGCTCTGAAAAGAAGCAAACATGATCTCTTATTTTTCCCAATGTCTGTGAAGTACCTTTTGCCAATGTATGTTGTTTGTGTTTGTAGTGTCGTCTACCAGCTACTGTTCGATGCCTATCTCATCCAAGTGCACATGTCCGAGCCTTAAGCACATCGGTTCTTCGTGATATCCTGCACACCAGCTCGATAAATTCTAGTTCAAAATCGGGAAACATAAATGGCATTTATCCCTCTTATCAATATTTCAGTTCAGGTATCATTGACTGGAAAACAGATATTGAGAAGTGCTTAGGATGGGAAGTTCATAATCAACTTGCAACTGGACTATCAACTCAGTCTCTTCAAGCTGCTGCCGAGGAATTAGGCTGCTCTATTCCCCTATGACGTCGGTATAAGCTTAGGTTGTTCGTTATTGTAACGACGTTGAAGTATACGAGTTTGCGGAGACGATTTACGCTATGTTTCTTATCTGATACCATAGATTATTTTTATCCAATAATTCCTTGTTTGGTCCTGTTTACATATCCTCTCACCAAGATGGTTGTGCCTAGGGAGACAGACATTTTATAAGGCCTTATTGTGCGTTCAATTATTTTCTCCTGGGCGTAGAAAAGTTCCTCTAATGTAATTTATTACCTCCCTCTTATTTCATTCCAGGTATTATTTATGGGTACATTCCTCCTTTTAGGCTTCTCTTCAAGGTTTTCTCTTCAAGGTTTTTAAAAGATGTCTATTAGAAAGAGGTTTTCACATCCTTGTAAAAAATGTTTTGTTCTCCTCCCCAATTGATATAGGATCTCACAAAAGTCCACTACTAATCGATATTATTTTCTTTTGATTTTTTCTTACGGATTTCCCTTCAAAGTATTTAAAATGTGTCTGTTAGAGAGGTTTCCAAGAGATGTAGTTTACTTTCCAAAACGAAAATGTATACATACATGAGTAAGCGAGCTGGAGAAACTTAGTGCTGCATAGCAAAAAAATAATAGTGAGCCGCAAATATTCTTTCTTTTTCAATTTTGAATATTGCCATCCAACTAATGTGAAATCTCACCGTCCACGTCCACTTTCATTCGAGATCCACTTCACTCGCATCTATTCTATTCAATTGATGTGAAATTTCACTACAATTTTTATCCCCCAATATTTCAAGATATATGTTGAAATTGTTAGAAAAAAATAGATTTGATTAAAACTTTAAAATTAACCATAGTACTTGATTTGATTAAAACAGCACAAATGTTCAACTAAAAGGCCAAAGAACTTGATTTGCCCAAACAACCACATACTTAACTCGATCATAAAAACATGGATACGCTTAACGCTTCTTGGAGACACCAACAGTTTTCCCTCGGCGACCAGTGGTCTTAGTGTGCTGACCACGGACTCGGAGGCCCCAGTAGTGCCTTAGACCTCGGTGGTTTCTGCATTCGACATACCAAAGATTAATCGTGAACTACAAATGTACATGATGCAAGGAGTAGGGCTTGATATCCCAGGATGAAACACTTCAAGAATATTGTTAAGAATCAACACAATGCATGGAGTGAGTATAGGGCTTCATGAGGACTATAAATTTCCGAAACAGATCTTTATCTTAATTTTATTGTACGGGATTATTGGGGCATTTCTTTAACATTGTACCTAATAGCTGCTTAGCTGATAATGGTTTGCAAAGATATGCTCTGCCCTCATTTATCTTATTTATGTTAAATTAAAAAACTGTGCATGTTGATATGACAACAAAAACAGATGTTACCTGATCTTCTTCAACCGCTCCAAATCATCTCTCAACTTCATATCCAATGCATTTGAAACTACTTGAGAATATTTCCCATCCTTGTAATCCTTCTGCCGATTCAAAAACCAGTCAGGAATTTTAAATTGTCGTGGATTGGCAACCACCACCATTAGATTGTCCAACTCAGCAGCAGTTAGTTCACCAGCCCTGTTAGCAAAAATAACAAATGAAAACAAAGATGTATATTAGACAAGCCACTTGAGTTTTAACCCAAACTCTAAATTGTAACACCCTCTATGGCATATGAAGAAATTTGCATTCTCTCCATAATATTTCAGTCGATGTCAAAGAGGAAGAACTGTGTTTGAATTCAGTCATGAATTCCTGATTATTGGCCATTAACTTGAACTCTTCACTAAGATTTTGTCCCCATTTTATTCAGTGAACTAAAGGCACTCGGTTTATTCTCACTTGGCAATATTCTTTAGGACAATATTTAGATTAAGCTGTAAGGTCGTGCTGTATTTAGGTGCTTAGTCCCTATGGTCATTCACCATGGGGTTGGTGAGTTTGTATTCGGGTTGCTGCCAGTTTAATTATTAGAAGATATAGTTTTACTCTGATGAAAGCTACTCATCAAAAGAGAATAGCAGTCATCTGTGCATGCATTGCTCTCTTATCAGACCCAGGTAAGCAAGGTAAATATATGGTGTTAAATTATATCAAAGGAAGACGTAAGAGGCTGCAGCAGATAATTCCAGGAACTGAAAATCTAGTTGCAGTACATATTTCTTTTCCTTTTTCGTCCTTCTATAACTCAAATCAGAAGGGTAATCCTTTTATCCGTCAACCAGAAGACTCAAAAAGTTCACTATGGCATAAGTTTTTTCTGTGGAAGACTCGAGGATTCAAGGTCCTGTATAAGGAATTGACACCTTAAATTCATAGCAGGCAGAATTTAAAAACTACGAACGAAACCCTTGTAATACTCCAAATTGTCGAATTTTTCCATCAAACTAGATAGACGAGCGGCAAAGAAGGGAAAATAGGGAGAGATAAAGCATCGAATACCTCTTGTTCATGTCAACATCAGCCTTCTTGCAAACCATGTTAGCAAGACGCCTTCCAATACCTTTGATTGAAGTGAGAGCAAACATAATCTTCTGCTTCCCATCCACGTTGGTGTTCAGCACACGCAGAATGTGCTGAAAATCCTCGTTTGCAACCAGCGACTAGATACAAACGCAACAAAATAAAAAGGCCAAATCAATACAGCCCATTATTGGGAGAAGATTACAAAACCCTAACGAATAATCAAGGGAATTCAAGAACCGTAAACAGAAGAACAAGAGGGAAATTAGAGCAGAGAAGAAACTGGAATTACCATGGCGAATGTAGATAGAAGCAAGGACTTCGTAGAATTCCCGGCGGCAGAAAAGGCACGAAAAAACCAAGGGAGATCTTCGGCTGAGTGTGGAGGAGGGCTTTATATACTGTCTATCAGCAATCTAGGGCTCCCGACTAAACTGAATTGACCAATATACCCTCTTCAAACTTTATTTTTATTTTGGGTTGAATTAATAGATTAAATTAATAAAAATAACTTTAAATTTTTGCATTTGTATAAAAATATTATAAGGTTTTTATATTATCTTAAATTTTTTTAAAATATTTTTAAATTTTTAAAAGTTTATTTATCCTCATAAATTTTTTAAAAATTTCAAAAATATTTTTACCATTAATACTACATTTAAAAAATAATATTAAAAAATTTGAAAATAATGTATGATTGTGTTGATAGATGGTTTCTGTTCATATATTGATTTAAAACTTTTTATTATTATTATAGATATTAAGAGGGTTAATGTAGTTTTAGAATTCCATTAGTATTTTTTTAACCTATAGTACTAACGGTAAGGATATTTTTGAACTTGTTAAAGAATTTGAACAAACGTTTAAAAAAAAAGGCTGGAGAGAGTTTTTTTTTTTCAGGTCTAAGTTTTCGACCCAAATACGAAATAAAAAAGAAGGGTCGGGAGAGGTCAGAAGAGGAGGTGAACTTTTTCGGTTGAAGAAGAGGAAGAAAGTGACTGTAAGTGGCGGATGGCGGGTGGCGGGTGGCGGGTGGGGATGGGTTTTTTTGTTCGAAGGCAAATGAAGAAAAAATTGGGGTTTTATTGGAATTTATATTTTAAAGTCTCGTAATTAATGATTTTATTTTTAATAATTAATAATAATTTATATTATTTTATTTGCAATATAATATAATCGATTGTACAACATATGGAAGGTTATTAGTGTAATCTTGAACACATGTCATAAACATATTCAAACAATAATTTAAAGGGTTTAGATTATATGGAAACATTTGAGTAGGGGTATCCTATTGTAACAGTCACAAAAATAAAAAAATAAATAAAATAAATAATTTTGGCGAGGCGCTAGAATTTTCGTACCCTCAACTTACCACACACTCCCCTGACACCATCGATCTTCCAAATCACTACACACTCATATCCTCTTAAAAATAAAAGAGAACATCGAAAGTAAAACGCCACAAATCTCGTCCCAGTGAAGCAAAGAAAACCCAACTATGTAAGCAACAACGAGCAAAGTGTACAACCATACTATGAAGAGGGTAGGTTGTGACCCTCACGTCATGACAAGCAAAGCGGCGTTCCTCAAGAGACGCCCATCCGGCCACATGCGGATGAATATAGAAGAGTGTCATGGTGCGATCGAAAAGGACGGTGCATCATCCAACATACCACCGCGTGAAGTGGGCATTGAAGACAAGTTGAGACATAAACATGATAGAGACATCGAATAGACATGAGGGGCAAAGATAGGCTTGTTGAAGAGCCGAGTAGGGCCCCAGGCCTTAACCTTGAAAGTCGGGTTTCCGAAAGGAATGTAGGCATGCAGTTCTGGAGTTAAGTTTGTCCATATGAAATATGAATGCTCGCCAAGTTTGGTGTCAATCGGACACCGGACGGACAATGCACGACACCGTATGACCGTTCACCATAATCATCCCTATATTAGCTCTCCATAACCCCTGGGCCCTGTGGCCTAAGTGAGCTACCCTGTGACACATACGTGTGTCGTAGTGTGGGAGAGTGTGCCAATAGGAGTGTCTCGGGCGACTTCCTTTGAAATGGATTTTTAAAGGATAGTACCGAACGGCACGGGTGTGCCAGTATTGTGCCCCAGCCCGCGTGTTGGAGGTTGCTACATACACCCGCTATCTGGTACGGTATCTATAAATGACTCGACATGGGCACGGGAGGGCCAATGCCTCAATAGAACCCAAATGGATGGATGTTCGGAAAGTCCCGATGAGATGAAAGACAAGCGGGCCCATTCTCGTTGACATGACCGAGCGAGTTATGATGGCCGACAACATCCCGAGACTCGGGATGGCGTCAAGAGATATGAACCATGTCGATGGAGATTGAGATGACAAGATGAGATGCAACGTTGTATTGAGAGACCTTGGCCTAAGCAGAAGCAAGGTCGAGCCAAATGACTTTGCCTAGTACAGAGGCAAGTTAGATGTGTCGCAAACGATTGAACATGCACGCTCAGGCAGCGTGTGTGGTGGAACAAGCTTGGATTCCGCACAAGCGATGTTCAATTGGCGAAGACAAACCTTGCCTAAGGCCCGACGAAGCCCCAAAGCTGGGGCAAAAAATATATATGGGGCTTAATTCCCCTTAAGGTTGATCGCGAGCATGTCAAGATCACGACGTCGTACAGTAAAAAATGTAGGACCGTGACACAAAGCACGGTGAATAGAAACCAGCTAGAGACTCCGAGCATACTCACGGTAAAATACGTCAATCCATAGATT